CTAAATAAATTTTTTATTTTTGTCAAATTTTATTTATATTATTGTTTTTGTTAATAATTGTTTTGTTCGTTTGTTTTTATTTATTAAGGTGCTACAATGAACTCAACTCTTAGAATAGGTTACCTCCCTGGGATTTGTTATCACCGAATGGATACGTATCCGAATGGAGATGTCTTCGATTGAAGAAGTTTTGGATAGGGTTGGTTCAAACTGCAGACGTTTCCAATTGTGGTTGTTTCCATATGGAGATGCCTCCGAATGGAAATGTCTTCAAATGGGAATATCTCCGAATTGTTATCTCCGAATGGATAAGTATCCAAATGGAGATATCTTCAATTGAAGAAGTTTTGGATGGGGTTAATTCAAACTGCAGATGTTTCCAATTGTAGATGTTTCCAAATGGGAATGTCTGTGTCCGGATATGTCCGAATGATGAAGTCTCTCAATGGGAATTTCTCCGAAGGCAGATGTTTCGGAATGGAAATGGCTAAGAAAAGAGATATTCTCCAATGAAACTGTGTACAAATAAGGATGTCTCAGAATAGAGATATCTCCACATGTGAATATCTCCGAAGGGAAATGTCTTCGAATTGGGATGTCTTCAAATGGGAATATCTTTCAGTAGAGATGTCTCCGAATGGGAAGTTTTTGAAAAGTTATATTTGAATAAATGTTATTAAAAGCAGTGATAAATAATTTCTCAATAAGCTTTCATAAAAATAGAAAAATAATTACTCTAACAAAAATATATTAAACAAACTTTTTTTAAATTACAATAAAGCATTTTTAGATTAATAAATAATTCGGAACTAAATTTAATAAATTTCAAAATCAAAGAAAATTTTTTAAAATCATTCTCGGTCATACTTTATCTTAAAATAGCGCATAATTGTTACTCGTCAAGCTCAATTCAATTAAAAATTATTCTGAAATGATTGTTCTACTGATTGATGGCATAATTAAAAAAACATAAAATCAATTGATTCATTTAAAAAAAATAAAAAAAAAGCAATTAATATATATAAATGAACTTGTGTTCTTCCATTACGTATTTGCTAAATTTATTTTTGATTTAAATTACAAATTTTTATTAATCTTAAAACCAAATTCTGTAATACAACAAACAGTACCTATATAGTATTATTGAATATATAATATACATATTTGAATAAATATATTAATTAAATACATAATACGATTTTATTTATAAGAAGTAACGGCAATTGCATATATAAATAATATATGATCTAAACCTCTATCCAGATATTCACTGCGGGATCATACAAGGTAAAACCTAAATTATTATAGAAGTTATCTACCAGATACTTTTTTTCGATAAACTGTCGATCCTTTCATTTAGTCTTTTAAATTAATAATCTTTGATCAGTTATATCACAGCGAATCCATATTATAACAAAAACATTCAGTTTTGTCATAGCCCATTGCATTATTAAGTAATGTTTTATTCTTTTTATAAGAGATTTATTTTTCAATGCTAGTCGTTGTGCCTGGTAAAGTATTCTATCGGTTCATTTGCGCACCCTGCTTTTCAATCCTCCTTCCACCCACAGGTGTACATTTTATTTACCTTTCGAATGGCTAATGACCAAAGAGTCGTCGCTATATGTATATGCAAATCCATAGTAGTATCGTGCAGAAATACGACGTGTTGCTAAACCAATTGTACTGCCCTATCATTAACGAACTGTGTTAATTCATTTTATTGGTTAGTTTTATGAAATATCCTCAAGCTTGTTAGATTTTTAATAATAAATATATATAGCAAACATTTCAATGTGGAAAGTTATTAGAGTATACACTAAGGTCAGTATTTAGAAACAAGGATACCGATTCCAACAGCATTTGCTAAACTTTGAAGCAGATCCATGGTGCTTCATGGTAAACTCATTGGTTCTGAACCTATATACAATGATGACAAAAAGATACAAATCAGCAAATTAGTGTGGACAAAAATTAGTAAACGATTTCAGCTATTCAGAATATCATTTGAATACTTTTATCAGTTAAAGTGTTCTGTTTAATTATATTTTTTCATTATATTTAGGTAAAAATTGATATATATCGAATCCACTCATTCAATTCTTTTTATTTCTCTAACTACAGAATCATCTACTGAAGTACATTTTTTTAATAACTTGAATTACTAAGATTAAAACCCAATTTTACCATAATTAATTATAAACCCTTGTTTATACTTAGAAGATCTTATTTTCTTTGAGTTTGGGATTAATTTTTTTGTTTTACAATAGGTGGAAAGCATCGATAGGACTTTAACTCACTGAAATCACTACTTTCCACCTCAGTATGGAAACTTCACTCTAGTAATTTAAGAAAAGGTATATAAGCGAGAGGCTTAGTACCTACTGGACTAGTTTTATATAAGCATAAGTGTAGTGCAGATAGACAGAAAGTAGGTGAAGGAGGCGTGGTTATGTTACTACGGGAGATGGACTGGTGGTAGACTCTAAGACCAAGGATTATAGTTAATGCAACTCTGTGTCGCTTTGAAAATTAAATGAAGAAAAATTTTTCGTTGGCCTGTTTTTATAAGAATACAAACACCTTTTACAAAGAAACAAAGTTACAAAGTTTAAATAATGAATTAATTGGCGAGTGTTAATTATGATAGGTGAAATTTGCTTTATGTTTAGAGTATAGTATATAGCATTTGTACTTACTGCATATACATACATGCATTAAAAATATTAATATTACTAAAAATTAAAATGAAACCCTTAATACGTAAGTCCATGCCTTAGAACTGTTAACGTACGATATATATGTATATGATATATAGATATATGTATGATATATATGTATATGTAAATACATATAATACATGTAATAGTAAAAATATATAATATAATTGAAGCCCGTGAAGCTTCTTTAATATATTAACAAACAGGTTAAAAAAATTTCCTAAATATATTCGTTTTTTTAAGATACTTTTAATACATATACATATATACATATATATATAATTTCTCCAAAAGTATAAATATTTATTGGTCATATATATATGTAGATAAGATCATATACTTGACATAACCAGCAAGAGCAGAAAAATGAATTTTTATTGCTTGAATGAATTTCGGAATTTTTAATTATTAATTACAATTTAAATACATATTAATCATTTTAAAATTCTCTTACGTCATAATTATATACATAATAAAAAAATTCAAGTCATTATTATTATTAAATATAAATAAACAAGCATGTAAGTATCGTCTTTTTAAGTCATTAACATTTTGGTTTATAATTTTTCTCATTTTTTACCAATAAAAACAGTTTTAAGAAAGAAAATATTATGACAAATTATTAAATAATAATAACATATATATATGATATCATGTGTGATATGAATTTAAACACAATAAACAAATAATTAAGTACTAATTCGAGCCGAATGCGAGAAGGCGCTACACTTTTATAAAGATTCAATATGTACATTAAGTTATATACAAATTTATGTAAGTGAATACTTAATGTTTCTAGTACCTTTTTTTAATAAAGATATTAAGAAATAATAATGATATATATAAATAAAGAATATACAGAATGTGAGCAGTGATATTACTACACTTTTAAAAGAGATTAGTATTCGTTCGCATTCGTGATCTGAAAGATAATCTACCAACTATGTATCTAAAACATTCAAATACATACATATATAGCTTAAGCTTCAATATATTACTAAAAAAGGACATACTAAAATTTGCATTTAATATTTTTTGATGTTTTACAACGGACAAAAACGCTATGTGCCCTATGCCTAAGATATCACTTATTATTAACAAGTGCAAATTTCCCTTATATTCTATGCCTTGTTGCTCAATTTAATTAGATACTGAAAAAATCCGTCTTATTAAAATATCTTCTACACCCCATTAATACAAAGAATACAAAGAAATTATTGAAATCACTCATATAGTGTAGTCAAGCCAATCAATTCAGTCAGTCCTTTATTTTCCACCAGACTTTCAGAGCAAGTCCACCTAATACGCAATGACCTGTCAACAGTTACACTATTTTGGTAAGTTGGTTCCACTTTATTCAATGCAGCTCACTGATACGGTTCTTATCTAAATCAGACAAAGTAAGTCTTGATCGGATCTACTAGGCATAAAAAAGCTGACAAGAAACTTCATCTGTCCAGCTTTTTATGATATCACTATATATTTTTGTTTGATATCACAAATAAAAAACGATATACTGTTTCTGTATAGACTAAAGCGCACAGAAAAATATGAATGATATAATATTAACTTTCCACAATATTCTGCAAAAGGAAATGCGCTAACACAAATAGGTAAGTAAGTTGAAGTCGCGACCTTGTTTCTAAAAAAGTCCACTTTAGCTCAAATGAAGGCCCATTGTGGTGCTATAGGAATAGCATTGGTATGTAAATATATTGAAAGATCAGTATACGGCTAGCACCGAAAAATGTAAGGACTCCTTCATTAGATAAAGGAAAATCAATCTTACAGTTCTATGAATTCGGCTAAGTTTCTAATATTACAGGATGACAACTCGGTGAGGTCGGTAAGAAAAGGTTTTTGATCTTCTCCTAGCTAAAGACGTGCACTGACACATGACATGGAGCACGGTCTCCTACTCATCCTCAGAGCCACAACCACGACAAAAGTCATTATAGGCTAGACCCAGTCTCATAGCATGTATTCCTGTTTCGCATATACATATGCGCTAAAAATAAAACACTACATTTATGTGCGTTATGTTACAATTTGAAGTGTCTTTTGTATAAGCTTTTGTGTAAAGGATTATGGAATTTTAAAGAACTTTAGAACTAATAGACACACTCTTTATCAATAAAAATTTGTGTGAAGAATCGAATATGCATTCGAGCAAATGTAGCTCCAATTATAAAAAGCAGACATCATATCAGGTAATTTAGACATGCAACGGCAAAAGCCAACCACAACGATTATCTCAGTAAGTGTTTTACAATCAATGGATCAACATCAGAAGCCAGTAAACCAGTAAACCAGAAAACTGCCACAATCGATACAAAGTGCAACCATTACTTATATGGCTTTTCATATTGTGCAGTCTAATCCAATAATTAGCATTATCGATTTAAGATTAGTAAACTAAAAATAAAATTTTGAAAATAAATTAACTTTAAATACAAGAATGTCCTCAATATGTAGTTCTGCCCTAAAACGCGATTAGGGAAACAATAAAAGTAAAGTGAATAAAGTGCAGTCATTTCTATCTCAAATTTACTATTGAAAATAGTTGGAAATAATTTAACAAAGTGGATTAACGTTCCAAAATAAACAAAGACGCTTTTCTTATCAAAAATAATTATCAAAATTTGCACCCAACACCTGCTGTGCTCAAGATAATTAGTAATTATAATAAATAATTTTGAAAGAGTTAATCTATTACTGCAGGTAATATAATGTATTGGAATCAACTATATGAGTGTTTTTTTTTTAAATAAAGTGTTAAGATTATATACTCTAAGGATATGTAAATGTTAATCAAATAAACTACCGAAGAGCAATAATTAGGACGAAAGACATTCTCTTCAAGTATACATATTTTTGGAATTCTTTTTAAACAGAAAGTAATTTGAAGAGTTAAGACTTTGTCTTCAGAAGTTGTGTAATTGTCAGTAATATAAATTTACAATTTACAAACGTTTAATAAACTATGTATCGATGTTATGTTCTATGAGTCAGAACTTCTGACACAGAAGTTAATATTTTTTATAATCGTTCAGGCAATATACACAAACCATATCGAAAAAATTATATACCTCAGTAGACGCTTTAGCACCGGTATATAGCAATCGTACTGGATTGCTCACTTAGTATCTTATAAATATATAAAACCCTTAACACAATACTAAATAAAAAAATTGATCTAGAGTTGTCGAAACTTCTTCTAACCAATCCAAAGAAAAATATACAATATAAAACTATACATAATATAAAACAATATAATTTATTAATTTTGCATTGAAAATCTAATATATACCTTTTAAAATATATTTAGTAGAACATATAATAAGTTGTGCCAGCTCTTAACGTATATTATAACTATACTCCCATAAACCGATGCATTACGATCATACTCAAGCGGAAAAAATGAGATCTCGAAAATGATCGATTTCAAAAAGAGGTAAACAAATAAACTTAAACGATGCCTGGATTCAAACTAATGAAGAAAACTTTTAATGGATAACCACCTGTTTAATGGAACCCTACCTTGAAGTATTCCCAATAAAATTCCGTTGTAGAAATGGTCTGGCAAACCGGGCATACCACTATTGTGACAACATAGTGACGATGTGTTAGGTAGTCTTAAGCGTCCTGTCCGTACAAAAAAAAAATATATTATAACTGTGACAAGCAAAAGAATCTAGTATATACAGGGCGAAGGACCTAGGAGTCCATTTCCTTATTCATAATTATTCCTAGTTAACAAATAAATAAATAAAATAAATCAAGTATATAAGTCAAAACAAATTCAAACAAAATAATTTGTGGACATTACGTTTTATTATTATCAAGTTATAATTGTAAACAAAGATTAATTATTAAATATTTATTTAATAATTATCATAATATATTTAGATATAAAAAATGAATCCAACATCGAAGAATGAGCAACCAACCATACGTCCACTTTCCCCAATGCTGCAGGAAATAGCCATAAAGGAACTCAATGAGGTGCCTCACAGATTACATGAAGATATATTAAGCCTACGTAAATGGATTTATAGTCAGCCACATTTACGTGCACGAACCAATGATCAATTTTTGTTAAGTTTTCTACGAGGATCCAAATTTAGTTTGGAAAAAGCAAAGCAAAAAATTGATAGATATTATTCTCTTAAAGCAGCTATACCAGAAATTTTTAATGAACATCGTAATGTAGATGATAAAATAGTTATGGATATAATACGTGCAGGGTAAATTTATTTCAATCAGTATTTCATGCTTACTACATAAGACTAATATGTTTTCTATATGCTTTTAGTATTATACTACAAATACCATTAGCCGCTGATGATACAAGGCCTTGCATTACCATTATACGTGCCGGTTCCTATGATACTAAGATATTTAAATTTGCTGATATTATACGTGTGGGTACAATGTTTGGTGAAATTTTAATGATCGAAGATGATAATGCCTCTGTCAGCGGTTATATAGAGATAATGGATATGAATAATGTTACTGCCGCGCATTTTTTTCAGTTAAAACCGGACCTATTGCGTAAGTTTTCAGTATTCGCTGACGAGGCAATGCCTACTAGACAACGAGGTACACACTTTATCAATGTTCCTCCACCATTCGAAAAAGGTTTTAGCACTTTGAAGAATTTCTTTCCAGCTAAAATGTTGAGTAGAGTATGTTTATGAAATATTTAAATTTATTTCAATTTTTTTAAGATATTAGTAATTCTTTTTCTAGATATCTGTTAGTTCTGATTCCGAAGCAATTTTTAATTTTGTTCCTCGCAACTATTTACCCATTGAATATGGTGGCGAAAATGGTACTATGCAGGACATAATTAATAATATGGAAGAGAAAATAATGAAATATCGTGAATACTTTTTGGACGACTCCAAATATGGTACCGATGAAAAATTGCGCGAAGGCACACCAATTAATTATGAAAGCTATTTCGGTATTGAAGGATCCTTTAGAAAATTAGACATAGATTAAAAATTGTCAATATTCAGTTCACCAAAAAAATATACCAAAAATTTATTCCATCAATTTTTATCGCAAGTATTTTTAGTTCATCACATCACATATATAAAAATATTTATATACGTAATATATATTTAAAATTGTTTAAATAACATACCAAAAACTAATATTAAAAATATTATTGTTGTAAGTAGTAGAATAAATTTATTAAAAATTGTACTAGAGTTAAAATAAAATAAATAAACCTAGATTGTTTAAAAAATGATGTTTAAATAAAAATTCTATTCAATTTTATAAAAATTTATATTTTCTTAACAATTAAATTCTCCAAAATTGTTAACATATGTATACCACATCTATTATTTATAAGCAGTATAAAAAATAAGTAGATATATATTCTATTATATTTCATGTGGAACTTGATTGAACTTTAAAACATCTACAACTTTTCACATATTGTTTCAATATAGCGTAGGGGCTATATTCCAGAACAGTCCTTGCGTCCACAATCTAAATTGTCACACAGACTCCACGACTTACCCCCTGGTATTCCCAGGGCTTTATGTTGGAGTTTTGCACAGAGCTTGACACCCGTACCGTAAAATCAGTAGCCCGTTAACGATATAAAAAAGCCTCAGATGGGGTATTGCAACCGAATTTTAAAAAATATTAGCACCAATTCTTTAAACAAATTAATAATTACTAGTTGCTATATATTGGTTATATAGTATATATGACCTCATATCAAAATGTAAATTGGATGATGAACTGATTCGTATGGAAATGCAACCCTGTGAAACCGTCACATAATATCTCTACAGTCAATACCTAAAAAAACGAAGGCTGTAAAAATAGAAAATAGAATGTTTTTATGTTATTAATACTCAAAAACGAAACCTCTGAAGATTTGAAATTATACGTATAAGACCTTAATTGAACTTAATTTATTCGAACTTTTTATCAAGAATACTGTGCGTATATGACAAGTCCAATTTTGCTTGATATTCATTATAAAAATATATATTTCCGATTCCACACATTGAAGATTTCAAATTAGCCAAGAATATTTAGTTTTGTTTATGCGATTAAAGATCCTACGGGTTTACTTTTTTTAAAAACATTTTAGCAGATTGTGGAACCAGTGCATTGATAATATGGAACAAACTGCAAATAATAAACAAAACAAGAATAAAATTAGGAACAAGCTACTTATTAAAACATCTATGAATTTGCGTAAACCACCACTTGCACTGCAAAAAATTGCTGAAGAAAAATTGAACGAAAATTGGGCAAAGATTCCAGACGAGATTAGGGACCTACGTATATGGAATGCCAATAATGAATTTATAAGGGCACGATGTGACGAACAATTTTTATTGTGTTTTTTACGTAGCGCTCAACATAATATGGAATTAGCTGAAACTAAATTAAAATCCTTCTACCGTTTACGTGATAAGTATCCAGCTTGTCTACGAGCTCCCTCATTCAAAGATCCAAAATTTAAAGAATTTTTAGAACAGGGGTTTATATATACAATACCATTACTATATACATACCTATATTAAATTGTTTTTTTTCCAGTATTGTACTGTTTTTGCCGAAACCAATTGCAGAAGATGGACCGATGATCATTTTGCTACGCCTCTCCTTATTTTCAGTTGAGAGACATACATTTTCAGAAGTAATGCAGAATCTGCACCTAATGCAGGAATTACTCATGTTGGAGGAGGACAATACGACTATAAGTGGCGTTATCTATCTAATAGACTGCGAAAATATTACTTTAAAAAATTTATATAATCTTTTCTATGTGGATAAGTTAATAAATATCTTTACGGATGGCCTTCCACTTCCTGTACAATCGGTGCATTTTATACATGAACCTCATCTTCTTGATGTTGCTATTAACATAATTAAATTCATGTTCAAAAAACAAATACCTAATGTAGGTTAAAGTATTTTATATAGCTTAGTACTGTTAGTATACTAACTGTATAGTTAGTACTTTTACAGTTCTTTGTAATATTTATATATAATTTATTAAAATAATTTATTTTGTATAATTATATTGTATTACATATATATATATGTATATTTAATTTTTTTTAACTGGAGTGTTTATAAACATTTTTAATCTTTTTTCAATAGTTGCATTGTCATGGATCTAATTTAGCTGATTTATACAAAACTATTCCACAAAATATATTACCTTTGGAATATGGAGGTTCATATAGAAATTTGAACGATCTAGTTTCTTATTGCGTACATAAAATTTATTCTCACCAAAAGTATTTTATGGAGGACTTTTCATTTGGAACCACTCTACACTGGCAAATGTGCTTAAATGCATTCAGAAATGAGAGCACGTCATATAGAATACTCGAATGGCTAAAAATTTTTATATATTAAATTAGATTCATATATTAAATTAATTAATTAAGTCCAATTTTCCATAATTAAGTCCAATTTTTAATTAGAATCAAAACAAATAGGTATAATTCTTGACTTTAATTGAAAAAAATCTGTAGTATATATGTAAGATAAATAAATATTTTGATATAAAAATAATATTTCTTAATATTATTATTATGTATAAAACACTTTTACTAACAATTTACATTGTAGCTGGAAATGTTATAAACACATATAATGCCTTATCGCTTATTAGATAATGATTATAACTTAAAATTGGTGCCAATATTCGATAATGAATTTAATTGCAAGAGGACTGTAGACTACTGCAGACCGTTTAAAATATTTTTTAACAAAAATATATAAAAGTGTAACTATGGCCCTACGACAACTACCAGATTATTTACAAAAAACTGCAATCGAAGAATTAAATGAAGTACCAGAAAGAATACCTGCAGATATCGAGGCGTTGAAAACATGGATACAGCAACAGCCACATCTAACCGCTCGTACTGATGAACAATTTTTGATTGCTTTCCTTCGAGGATGTAAATATAGTTTAGAAAAGGCTAAATCAAAAATAGATAAATTTTATACTCTACGTACACAAGTTCCAGAAATGTTTGGAGTTAAATCTTTTGATATGAATAAAATAATTGAAGTGCTAAAATTAGGGTAAGATAATAATCTCAAGGTATTTAAATTTTATACAAGTATAACATAATTGGAATTTCCTTATAACAATAGCGCAATTTTATACCTACCAATACCGTTAAATGATAATGGACCACGTCTAGGTATAATGCGTATGGGTGCTTATTCTGCGGATGAATACAATTTTATTGACATATTGCATGTTGGTCAGATACTACAAGAAATAACCCTGCTTGAAGATGATTATGCAAATGTAAATGGTATAGTGCATATCATGGATTTAGCAAACGTAACAAAGGGCCACTTATTTCAAATGACTCCAGGAACAATGAAGAAAATGACTGTATGGACAGAACAAGCGTTACCACTACGACCAAAAGCAAACCACTTTGTTAATACACCAACAGGATTTGATGTTGTTTTTAATATGGTTAAACCAATGTTGTCTCAAAAACAACAGGATAGGGTAAGCAACTTTTTCGATTCTTCTCATATTGATTCTTCTCATATCTCATATTGACTAACTTATTATATTTTTTAACTGATTTTCTTCTTTGATAATACAGCTTCACGTGCACGGCAATAATATGGATTCTCTGCATGCACAAATACCAAAAAAATATCTACCCAAAGAATATGGTGGAGAAAATGGATCGTTACAAGACGTTATTGATAATTGGGTAAAGCGTTTGGAATCATATCGAGATTATTATATCGAAGAGAAAAACTATGGCACTGATGAGAAGTTACGACCAGGCAAACCTATAGATTTTGAAGGTCTTTTAGGAATCGATGGATCCTTTAGAAAATTAAATGTTGACTAAACTAGAGTTAATATTATACTTTATTTGTCTATATAAAATATAATTTGTATATTAAAAAGGGTTTATTATTCTAACACAACATTTTTTTCATTTAATATGTTTCAATTTTTAAATGTTAATGACAACATTATAATGTTAGAAAAGGTGTGAACAGTAATGATTTAGAATAACAAAATTCTAGTCAAATTTGTAATTGATCATTATACCATTTATTCCCAGATCTGCCAAATATCAGTTATTAATAGTTTTAAGAAATATTTTTTGAATTTGATTATTTGTATAATATTTTTAGCCTACAAGTACCAACGGATAAATTTGTACTCTACCAAATTTGAAACTCAATCTTTCGTTTAGACATCTGATCCACAGCTATATTGGTCTTATACTTTTTTGAGTGGAATTTGGTCAATTGGGTTGTTTTCGCTTCATAGTATTTTGAATTCTTATGTTATTTATACATAATGATTAATTCATCCCCTCTGCTCACGAAATATTCGAAATTTGAGATATGTCGGAATAACAAGCATTAAAGTCAAACTTAATCCTTCATTACTTATTAAATGCCGGTATAGTAACAATTCGCCATTTAATAAATAGTTAGTCTAAATAAAGTAACCATCCCAGGGTATTAAAGAGCGAAGTACAATGATTGCGTACGTACGTCTTATGCGTTCTAGTGTTCCTCCGTTCAAAGTTAAATGCATCGCTATTAATACCAACGGTAACAGTCAGAGAACGGAGAGAACGCAAGCAAAGGTTGACTGACTTTTAACTTTTCTTTGCGTTTCATGCGAGCAAAAATAATTTAGTACAGAAAAATTGTATATATTTATTGCGATTATAAATTTTGTTTATATAAAAATAATTTTTATTAATTATATGTTTTATAAGGCTTAATACAAAATGAAGATTACATTTATCAAATGAATTAATTTTTATTGTTTTTCATAAACTTGACAACGCCGTATAATCTTCATATATAAAAATCTAAAGCATTTTTTTAATATGCAAAGTACAGTACATATTGAAAATTAATAAATATAACCTATGTATATAAGCAGTGACCACAATTTGATCCAAAATAAATTCAAAATCACAGTATATTATTTTTAATAATTTAAACAAAGATTGAGGAATTGATGAAGCAAAACATAAAACATAAGAACGCAAGTACGCAATCGTTTTAACTTGCGTTTCCGATTTTGCGAAGTGAGAGAATTAAACTGAAAGAGAGAATTTTACGCATCAGTTCATAAGACGCAAGTACACAACCATTATATTTCGTAATAGACGAAATTAAAAAAAATTACCTCTATTGAACGTCATTCAAATTACAATTTCTGGGTTCGTATGGAACAAAAAGCTAGGGTGTTTGATAACAAAATTTCAATTTTACCTTCGTTACTTAAAAATTAAAAATATTTTTTTTAATATTTCAATTTATAAACAGTCAATAATATTAAAATAAAAATATTATAAATTTATACGATATATGTTTTAACCGGATTCATGTAGGCTTCAATGTGAAATAAAAATAATTAAATATATTCAATATACTACGTGGTATTCTCGTACACTCATATAGTTTATGTATTCCAACATTTAAACATTTAAAACAGTATACCCAAAAATTGTTTATATATATAATTTATTGTTTTTAAATTTAGCAGTTATAGAACTTAAACACAATTTAGATATTATACCTTTACTGACACAAATTTTATGCGCTAAAATAATGACCTTATCTTTCGTTAGATAATGTTTATAATATAAAATTAGTGCCAATATTCGATAATGATATTATTTGCAAAAAAATTGTTCATTACTACAGACCGTTTAAAGAGATTTGGATACAATATATATTAATAAAGCAATGGCACTACGACAACTACCACATTGTTTACAAAAAACTGCAATCGAAGAATTAAATGAAGTACCAGAAAGAATACCTGCAGATATCGAGGCGTTGAAAACATGGATACAGCAACAGCCACATCTAACCGCTCGTACTGATGAACAATTTTTGATTGCTTTCCTTCGAGGATGTAAATATAGTTTAGAAAAGGCCAAATCAAAAATAGATAAATTTTATACCCTACGTACACAAGTTCCAGAAATGTTTGGAGTTAAATCTTTTGATATGAATAAAATAATTGAAGTGCTAAAATTAGGGTAAGATAATATCACAAGAATTTTTAAATTTTATACAAGTATAACATAATTGCAATTTCCTTATAACAATAGAGCGATATTTTACCTACCAATACCGTTAAATGATAATGGACCACGTATAGGTATAATACGTATGGGTGCTTATTCTGCGGAAAAATACAATTTTATTGACATAATGCAAGTTGGTCAGATAATACAAGAAATAACCATGCTTGAAGATGACTATGCAAACATAAATGGTGTAATGCATATAATGGATTTAGCAAATGTAACAAAGGGCCACTTATTTCAAATGACTCCAGGAACAATGAAGAAAGTAACTGTATGGACAGAACAAGCAATGCCACTACGACCAAAAGCAAATCACTTTGTTAATACACCAACAGGATTTGATGTTATATTCAACATGATCAAACCAATGTTGTCACAAAAACAACAGGATAGGGTAAGCAACTTTCTCGATTCTTCTCATATTGATAACTAACTTATTATATTTTTAACTAATTTTGTTCTTTGATAAAACAGCTTCACGTGCATGGCAATAATATGGATTCTCTGCATGCACAAATACCAAAAAAATATTTACCTAAGGAATATGGTGGAGAAAATGGATCGTTACAAGACGTTATTGATAGTTGGGTAAATCGTTTCGAATCATATCGAGATTATTATATCGATGAGAAAAAATATGGCACTGATGAGAAGTTACGACCAGGCAAACCTATAGATATTGAAGGTCTTTTAGGAATCGATGGATCCTTTAGAAAATTAAATGTTGATTAAACTACAGTTGATTGTTAATTTATTTGACTATATAAAATACTAATTATATATTAAAAAGGGTTTATTATACGTCCACTATATTTTTTTCATTTAATATAATGCAATTTTTAAATGCTAATGCCAATATTATAATGTTAGAAAAAGAGTGAACAGTATAGAATGATCAAATTCTATTAAAATTTGTAATTGATCATTATACAACTTATTCCCAAATCTGGCAAATATCAGTTAATAGTAGTTTTAAGAAATATTTTTTAGATTTTATTGTTCGTATATTATTTTTAGTCTGCAAAAACAAAATGTTAAATTTGTACAGATCGTTTTACACACCTGATCCATATCTATAGTCTGCAGAAGTATGTTATCATTTTAACTTGCGTTTCTGATTTTGCGAAGTGAGAGAACTAAACTGAAAGGGAGTATTTTATGCATCAGCGCATAAGACGCAAGTAGGCAACTATTATATTTCGACACAGACAATGTAAAAAAAAATTGTCAATAATACTAAATATATGTATTGATGTTGTTTTAGATATCTTTACCATCTCTGCATATAGAGCAGAGAGCTATTGCGTTTAATCACTGCTTTATACATATCTGAATTTAAATTTCACCTTCATTACTTAAAAATTAAAAAGATTTTTTTTTATATTTCAATTTATAAATACACAATAATATTAACACAAAAATATTTCAAATGGTGGGTTTCAATGAGAAATGAAAATAATTAAAATTTATTCAAATTTTACGTGGTATTCTCGTACACTCATATAGTTAATGTGTTCCGAAATTACAACATTTAAGCATTTTAAACACCATACCCAACAATTGTTTATATATATAATTTATTGTTTATAAATTTAGCAGTTATAGAACTTATACTCAATATAGATATTGTACCTTTATTGATAGAAGTTTTATGCGCACAAGTAAGGGACCTTATCTTTTATTAGATAATATTTGTAATATAAAATTAGTGCCAATATTCGATAATGATATTATTTGCAAAAAAACTGTTCATTACTACAGACAGTTTAAAATAGATTTATATAGCAATGGCACTACGACAACTACCTGATTGTTTACAAAAAACTGCAATCGAAGAATTGAATGAAGTACCAGAAAGAATTTCTGCAGATATAGAAGCTTTAAAAACATGGATACAACAACAACCACATCTAACCGCTCGTACTGATGACCAATTTTTGATTGCTTTTCTTCGCGGATGTAAATATAGTTTGGAAAAGACCAAATCAAAAATAGATAAATTCTACACATTACGGACACAAGTTCCAGAGTTGTTTGGTGTGAAAAATTTAGATATGGACAAAATTATAAAAATGTTAAAATTAGGGTAATTTTGTATTATAAACTTTTTAATTTTCCATATAATGTATACTAAACAAATTGTATTTTTCTAAAACGTTCAGCGTTATATTATACTTGCCAATACCATTGAATGATAATGGACCACGTATAGGTATAATGCGAATGGGAGCATATTCTCCGGATGAATACAATATATTTGAGTTGTCACGTGTAGGACAATTATTACAAGAAATTTCCCTACTTGAAGACGATTATGCAAATATAAATGGTGTAGTGCATATAATGGATTTAGCAAATGTAACTAAAGGTCACTTATTTCAAATGGTTCCAGGAACAATGAAGAAAATGACTGTATGGTCAGAACAAGCAATGCCACTACGACCAAAAGCAAACCACTTTGTTAATACACCAACAGGATTTGATGTTGTGTTTAACATGATAAAACCAATGATGTCAGAGAAGCAGCAAAATAGGGTAAAGTGCTACATTTCCAATTATTCTTATAATCAAACAACAAAATTTTAAATATATATCTTTTAATTATACAGCTTTATGTTCATGGTTATAATATGGATTCTCTGCATGCACAAATACCAAAGAAATATTTACCCAAGGAATATGGTGGAGAAAATGGATCGTTACAAGACGTTATTGATAGTTGGGTACAGCGTTTCGAATCATATCGAGATTACTATATCGAAGAGAAAAAATATGGCACTGATGAGAAGTTACGACCAGGCAAACCTATAGATTTTGAAGGTCTTTTAGGAATCGATGGATCCTTTAGAAAATTAAATGTTGACTAAACGATAGTTAATTGTAAATTTATAATTTTATATAATTTTATGAATATAATTTATATGTATAAATATTTTAAAAGTGATATTTATTTAAAAGTTTCTTGTATTTGATTGCTTTTAGTATTCTCAACCTGGGTTCTTAATTGGACATTAATTATCAATATATATTAAACTTGTACATATTAAATTTATATTCATTTCTGTAGCCGACTCGCTCTTGGTTTGTACTAATTAATGCTTACTTCAACTAATTTAATACCAATCCAAAGTTTATCGTAAACTAATCGATTATTCACATCATAAGATGCTTTAATAATAATATTATCTCTTCTGCTCCATTTCATTGTAGGAGAAACTTGACAGATAAGGATTTCTCTAACTCAGGTATATTAATTATATGAGTATTATATACTTTTCTTCAAAATTTTTTGTTATAATTTTGATTAAGTTGTATTAAATAATTTAATAATATTATTTTAATTCAAAAGCAAATTACTCTAATCTATTGCTTTAATACAATAATATAAAATAGCCCCTTAGACTGACTTCAACGTTTAAGCTACCTAGTCTGATCAATTACCAATCTGATCTATTTGTTTGATTTTGTTATAACACTACTCATATCTGTTGGTTATTTAAAGCCCTCAATGTGGAACAGAAGCTACGTCTGTTAGTGAATTAAAGATTAAAAACTGCCAAATTTTCAGATTTGATATTAAATTTTGGCAGCAAAATCTTATCGTCACTTATTTCGTGAATTTGATAAAATGATTTTGGGACTTTTTAAGTACATTAAGTTTATTAGCATGAAAATACATATTTTTAATTCAGTGTATATTCTAGTGTGCTTCTTAGTAGTTTTAATTTTTTTATATACAATAAAATAAAAAAATGGCACAATTACGTCCACTAAGTGAAGAACTACAAAAAGCTGCTATTGAGCAATTAAATGAAGTGCCAGAACGTATACCCAGTGATCTGGAAGCATTGAAAACCTGGATAAAACAACAACCATATTTAAATATCCGCACAGATGATCAATTTCTGATAGCCTTCTTACGTGGTTGCAAATATAGTTTGGAGAAAGCCAAAGCTAAAATTGATAAGTTCTATACATTGCGTACGAAATATCCGGATCTATTTCAATGCAGCGATGTAGATAATCCACGCTTCCGTGAAATATTAAGGCTTGGGTAAAATTTAAATATATACATTATAAGCTGTGTATAAAGATATAATAATTAATATATATGTTATTATATTAGAGTTATGAACTATTTGCCGAAACCAACTCCTGATGGACAAGCAATTGTTATAATGCGTTCAGGTGTTTATGATGCTAATGACTATACCATTGAAGAGATATTCAAAACTGCTCAAAACGTAGCACAAATTACACTTATGGAAAATGATAATGCCAATATTAATGGAGTTATAGCTATTATAGACCTAAGCAAAGCAACAGCTGCTCACTTTGTTCAAATGTCACCAGGTTTAATGAAGAAAATGACTGTATTCTCTGAAGAAGCTGTACCTTTGCGTCCAAAAGCTAATCACTTTTTTAATACTCCAAGCTTTTTTGAGCCACTATTTAATATGATGAAACCTATGCTCTCCAAAAAACAACAAAATCGGGTAAAATTATGAAAATGGATTGTTCTTTATAATTCTAAATATGTTGTTTTATGCTTTTCAGCTTTTTGTACATGGTAATAATTTAGAATCATTGTACGCCTCGGTTCCGAAAGAGTCCTTGCCAAAGGATTATGGTGGTGAATCCGATTCAATTGAGGAAATAACAGCTTATTGGGATAAAAAAATGGATGAATATCGTGATTATTTTAAGGAGGAAATAAACTATGGCACTAATGAAAAACTGAGGCCCGGAAAGCCAATCGATTTCGACAATCTCTTTGGAATGGAAGGATCATTTAGAAAACTCAATGTAGACTAACAAAACAAATTTCATTTGTTCTTATAACATATACTCAATATAATTTTGTACGTGGGAGAATTGTATATCTAACTTTTATGTTTTTTATTTATAAATTTTTTATTACATTTGCTATGACTTTGAATTTTTCATTTGATTAGTAAATTAATAAGTTAGCACGTTTTGGCGACTTTTTGATCTTTTACGAAACTGTTGGAACACCATAAAATACAACAACCAATAGATAAAGAGCCAGATATTGTATATTTATATAACTTTGTATATTTCGTTGAAGTCGCATTGAATTAACAGTTCAATGCATTATCATTCATGAAATCAATATATTTAATCTTATCATATAAATTTTAAAATTAGTATTATCGTTTCGAATACACAAATATAATTCTCTTCCCATCGAATACCATGTCCTTCACCTTTGAAAGTACAAGTTCATAACTGAAACTTTTGGAAAATTAAGTACATTTCAGATATATTCCTTTTCATACAATAATTGTTAATCTCTAACTTTGGTTGATAGTTTTGGTTAATATTAATTGAAGGTCGTTTTTAGTAATTTTAAAAATTATTTGAAAATTTTCTAGATTAGGAATTATATGTGATGATTTAAATTAAATTAAAAAATATACATAGTCGTACGCATATAAATTATTTATACAATATAGAATTTTTTTACGCAAAAAATTGAAAGATCGTTTAAATTTATTCTTAATTAAAATGAAATTAAACTATTGTTATGTACGTAAAGTTAGCCAACCATTACCATATGTTATCAAGTAACTTCCCGAAACTCCAGTATTCCTAAAAAGAAGTGAATGAAAGAATAGGCTTCATACAGTCTACATGCATACGCAATGGTTAAAACCTTTTAATGGACAAAATAATGCTGACGTCATTGGACCAAGATTTTTTTTAGAATAAAGTACGTTTATAATAGAATATTTCAGGTGGCGATAAAAAATGCTATCGTATCATTTAAAGCTATCCTTGTGAGTTATTCTTACTCAGCAGGCTAAAAAAGCCTCTATCGCCCCATTCAGAAGGTGATAAAAAAACGCTAGCATGTCATATGAACATATGCTATAGAATACTTTAGGAGCCGATAAAAAAACATTAGCATAATTATATCTTCGGGTAAACGGCCACCTATAAAATTTTTGCAAACTTGGACAGCGAAATTTAAGTTGATGTGAAGCTATAAAAATCTCATACCTTAGTCTATTAATGTAAATAAAGTAACAGTCATTTGAATACGTGGATATATAAGATTCAAAAGTATTGAAACAATAACCAAAGTTTAAAAGGTGTTCTAACATCCTTTAATGACTCCGAGATTTTCTGCGAAATAACCACTTATCAAGTTACAGATTAAAAAATTTAATTATAAATTATTTTCAAAATCGTGCTGTTAATACTGAAGTACAACAAAAATCCTCACAGATACTAAAATCGTAATAAATTAAATAAAAAATCTTGGTTGAAAAAATTAATCAGTTACGAAAGAGGTACTCCTGAACCTACAACCCGTAATGCAAATTGTTAAGTTACTGTACCATAAAATTGCTATTTGCCCTTAGTACTATTGATACAATATATTAAATTTTACACGTTTTGCAGAACACACAAATATTATAAGTTAATAGTATCATCTTATGTCATCTATTAAAGATACTACCAATTGATGTCTCTTCCTTTTGGAAAACAATAATTAAAATGGGTAATATATTCATAATAGCATATATATAGACATATGAGTAGAATATATTTTAAGAATAAATTCTTTTAAAACTACAAAATATCTGACAGAACCCGCAGATGCAATATATACCATGCATACGATTAAAGATCTATGACTTTCCTTGAAATCAAGCAACATCACTGACACGAATACCAGCTTTCTAAAGGTGTTTTTATTTTGAGGAAATTTTTTGTTATCGAAGATAATCGTAATGAGTGGTCCATCTTTAAATACAAAAATTAATAAATAAACAATTAATTAAATTTACATCCCTATTTGTTCTCACTCCAGACTAGAGTGTATCTTGAACGCTATTGATCTAATCAAATATTTATTCATATGCCTTCATTCATATAAGTAAAACAAATAATTTAATTATTATTTATTGTAAAATAATAATTGTTTATAATTACTACAACACTTATTTGTAATAAATAAAAATAATAGCAATAATAATAATAAATTTTAAACTCTTGATAAAGATATAGATACTGATTTGATATCTTATCAGAATATTAGCCAGCACATTCAGGATATATGTAAAATTTACTTGCATATTAATATCAGTCTAAATTAAGTAGTGGTAACAATTAAACCCATTTTAAATATATTTTTTGCTGTGAAAACTTTAAGATTTTATATAATTTTTTATTTGAATTTGTTTAAAAATGTCTAATATTCGTGCTTTACCGGAACACTTACAAAAAGCCGCAATTGATGAATTAAATGAAGTACCCGATCGTATTCCAGCCGATATTGAAGCGCTTAAGACTTGGATAAAGCAAGAACCACATTTAAATATACGTACAGATGATCAGTTTCTTTTGGCTTTCCTGCGTGGTTGCAAATATAGTTTGGAGAAAGCCAAATCTAAAATTGATAAGTTCTATACATTGCGTACCAAATATCCGGATCTATTTCAATGCTACGATGTAGATAACCCACGCTTTCGTGAAATATTGAATCTTGGGTAAAATTAAGAAATGAATTTTAAAATATTAACAAAAATATATATTTATATAAAATATTATGTACAACTATAATAGAGTGATGTGCTATGTACCAAAACTAACACCTGATGGAAAAGCAATTTTTATAATGCGTACTGGTGTTTGCTCTCCCGATGACTATACATTTGAAGAAATATTTAGAACTGCACAAAATATGGCACAAATCACACTTATGGAAAATGATAATGCAAATATTAAAGGAGTAATTGGTATATCAGAATTCAGTAATGCAACAGCAGCCCATTTTGTTCACATAACACCAAGTTTAATGAAGAAATTAGCTGTGTTCTCAGAAGAAGCAATGCCTTTACGTCAAAAAGCCGGTCACTTTCTTCATATGCCAAGTTTTTTTAGTTCGATATTTAATGTGATAAAGCCTATGCTTTCAGAAAAACAACAAAATCGGGTAAAGTCTTTAAAAAACAATTCCATTCCATAGTTATATTCATTTTATTTCATTTTTTTAGATGTTTATACATGGCAAAAATTTAGATACATTCTATGCATCAGTTCCTAAAGAATGCTTACCAAAGGAACTTGGCGGTGATTCTTATTCAATTGATGAAGTGACAGCTTATTGGAATAAGAAAATGGATGAATATCGTGATTTCTTCAAGCAGGAATTAACATATGGTACTAATGAAAGTTTAAGACGCGGCAAACCAATTGATTTTGATAGCCTCTTTGGAATGGAGGGCTCATTCAGAAAACTAAATGTAGACTAATTAAAAGAATAGTTTAATTTTTTTATATAACAATATTAAAAATGGTTAATAATAATGTATAATATAATAATGGTATACTAATAATAATAATAAATAATGTAATAAAAATATATAACATATCAATAGCAAATAATTTAACTAAGAGATCATATTAACTTTCATATGTGAACAGTTAGTATTTCTAATTTTTGTTTATTAACCATGATTTGCATGATATGTAAAATGTTTGTAATATAGTAAAAAAAATACCGGAGACCTAATGAAAAACATGGATTTTTAATAGGATTAATAAAGTATAGCAATCTTTCCATGTTCGTGTGTCTGACTATCCATCCATGCATGTATACCATGAAAAAAGTATCTCAATTCTTGTTAAATCTAATAAAAGTTTGTATAGAGAGCTAGATAGGTTTGTTAGATTAAGGCAGGATAGGTCAACAAATAAATGTATAAAAGTTGTAGTTTACACAAGAGTAACTACAGTGAAAGCTAATCGGTTATTCCTCTCAATCGTGCAGTATTATTCACCCCCTATTTCTATTTTATTTCTCAAACAAAATATGTCCAGTCGTAACCCTTTATAACGATATCGAATTATCCATCTCAACCAAGTCATTATCACGACAGTCGTTATAAGCGGTAAACTATATAAACTATAGTGATCATTTTTCTTCAAATGCTCCAAAAAGTAAACTTTAAAAATGTTTTTTGTTCGATCGTTATAACCAGTAAGGAGCAATGTCTTCTTGTAACGATGACACTATAAAATGTTGTAATTATAGCAAACCAAATTTAACGTTGAGCTGGTCGTTACGAGTATTTCCGCTTGGTCGTTATATTAAGTGTCATTATTATTTCCACTGTAATATTATTATTTCTTTACAATAGACAGTTCTCTGGGCTGAACAGAATTGTAGTTCCCGTCTATATCTCGTTTAAAGAGCTTTCACTGCAATTAATTTTTAAAATAGCTCACTAAAATGAAAACCACCTTTCTTCTTATTTTTATTTATAACTTTTCATTGCAATTGATTGATAAACAATAAAATACGCAAGTCACCGTGACACTATATAAGATATCGCAACTCACAGGTAGAGAGATATATATTTTTTCTTATTACATCTTTATGAAGTTTCATTGAACTAATACCGAAAAATAAGAGAGTTCTCAATGTATAATCATTCATAAAATCAACATTTTGAATCTTATCATACAAATTTTAAAATTAGTATTATATTTTTAAGCATTCACCTTTGAAAAAAGTACAAAATTAAAATTTATAAAAAATTAGTTTAGTTTTAAACATTTTGATTATATATATAAATACTTCTTATAGCCATTAAATTTTCGAATTTATTAAAATCTACCAGGTTAAAGAGTGTTCTGCCTATTTTTAGTTAACAAATATTTCTAAATTAATAAATTTATAAGAAGATAAAAAAAGGTATACATATATTACCTACGGAGTATAATCTTCAACCTATTTGTAATTTCTTTGATATTATCTGCCACATAGATCTTCAGATCTGTTATATATATATAGATAATTAACTGCCTAATTATTTAATATAATTACTATAATATAGAAAATATAGAAAATTATTTCTATTAATTTCGCTATATAGTTTTTAAAAACAGAAAATCTAATATTACGCTCTGTCTGTTAAGGACCAGAAATGAATTTTATGTAGACAGTCAAATCGTAATTCTCAATTTTATACTATTAATCCAAAACCGCTGAATTTTTATGCACTTAATTATCTCAATGTCGTGATATAAGTCATACATAGTTCCATCTAATTCGATACTCGTTGCCAAAATGTAAGGGACTATAGATCTTCCGAAGAATTTTTCTTGCAAAAGCTCCAAACGCCTTCTATTCACTATTGTCCAAGCTTCTGCACCATACAGCAGGATAGGCATGATAAAAAACTTGTAGAGCGTGTTTTTTGTATATCGAGAGAGGGCTTTATTTCTGAATTCCCTACTTAGTCCGAAGTAATATCTGTTAGCAAGAGTGACAAGAGTCATTTAATGTTATTTTACGCTAATTGCCAAATAAACAAAGTCTTTTACAACTTCGAACTTGTAATTCTCAACAGTGACGCGGGATCCAAGACGCCTATGAGATTTGTTTGTTGACAGAAAGTACTTTGTATTGTTCTCATTTACCACAAGACTCATTAGCTCCCATTAAACAAAAATTACACAATGTAAAATTTTGTCTCTATAAATAGACTTCTTGAAAAAGTTAAATGGTATCAAAAACTATAAAATTTAAAATTTTATTTACTTTTTATTCACAGTTACAGAAAAGTATCCAGATTCTTTGCTTATATTATATACATACATTTATTTAAAGCGATAGAATGTAGCACTTCCTTGTTGAAAAATAGGATTAATTTATCTAAACAGTTTCTGTGTTAATCTTAAAAAGAAAAGGTGCTGATCAAAATAAATATAAATTTATTCATGTTCAATCTTGTTGTAACTTGAAAAACAATAAGTAAGTATTGTTGTAATATTGTGTCGGAATAGTTATACCACACAAGCTTTCAAATTTTGATTAAGATATCAATACTAAATTTCATATCTTATCAAATTATTAGCAAATACATTTGGGACACATGTAAAGTTGAACTCTAATAATAAACATTCATTTCGTGCGTATCAGTATTAAATAGTTTGAGTTAAACAGTGGTAATAATTGTATCTAAGCTAACTAAGTTTATTGCTTAATATTAAAGGGCATTTCACAATTTCATAATAAAAATTAATAAATTTTAAAGTTCATTTAAAAGAATTGTTTTAAACAATGCCTAATATTCGTGCTTTACCGGAAGATTTACAAAAAGTCGCAATTGATGAATTAAATGAAGTACCAGAACGTATTCCCGCTGATATCGAAGCATTGAGGACATGGGTAAATCAACAACCCCACTTGCGTGCACGCACCGATGATCAATTTTTGTTGACATTTTTGCGAGGCTGTAAGTTCAGTTTAGAAAAGGCAAAATCAAAAATTGATAAGTTCTATACACTGAGAACAAAATATCCAGATTTTTATACTATACAAAATGTGGATGACCCTCGTGTATTAGAGTTAATCAAAATGGGGTAAGTTTCTCAACATTTAAATACACAAAATTGAATAAGAAGAAGAATATTATTCTTTAAGTGTTGGCTTACATCTCCCAATTCCTTTGCATGAGAATGGACCACGTCTTATGCTAATTCGTGCTGGTTTATATCCAGCTGATAAGTATTCATTTGATGATGTCATGTGTATGGCACATACAATGCAAGCTATAACTATGCTTGTAGATGATTATTCAGTCGTAAATGGTACAATTGATATACTTGACTTGTCCTCTATGACAGGCGGTCACATTTTACAAATGACACCAACTGTTATGAAAAAAATGTCCACTTTCGCCGAAGAAGCCATGCCAATGCGACAAAAGGGCTCACATATGTTACATGCTCCAAAACTGTTTGAATCCGTTTTTAATATATTAAAACCTTTGATGCCTGTAAAACAACAGGAAAGAGTAAGTCAAATAAAATTAATTTAAAAGAATCAAATTTTAATTATTTAAGTACCTTAGCTTTATGTACATGGTGACAATCTGGAGGAACTTTACAAGCATATACCACAAAAATATTTACCCAAAGAATATGGTGGAGAAAATGGATCAATCGAACAAATCATAGCTGATTCTGTAAAAATCTTCTTAGAGTATAGAGATTATTTAATAGAAGATTTAAAGTACGGCGTCGATGAAAATTTACGCTCTGAAAAATCTGTTGACTATGATAATATTTTTGGTGTAGAAGGCTCTTTCAGAAAACTTATTGTAGATTAATATGAAATGTTATTTCTTTTATAAATCAAAATATTTATATGTAATATAACAATTCAATTAAAAATAAGTGTTTTTATTTTCTCTCTAGTTCTACAAATGCAAACATATAGCTTATTTAATGATGGCACAGGATTATATTGAAAGTATTAAAGGTATTTTATAATAAAAATAATTATTTTAAACAGTTTCATATTTCTAAATAAAAGTCCTTAATATTTCATTCAAAAGAAAATAAAAAAAGCACCAAGTCTATATAGCAAACTGTATATTAAAAATTATTAAAAAATTACATTTGACACTCAATTTTATAGTCCAATAACATACATTTTATTACGAATTCTTTTGTGCTAATTTTACAATAACACTCTTCACTTCAGTGTAATTCTTTAAAGCATATTCGCCATTTTCACGTCCATGTCCAGACATCTTGTAACCACCAAAAGGTACTTGTGCACTTAAAACATTGTATGCATTCACCCATACGGTACCGGCACGCAATCCCTGTACAATGTAATTTGCCTTATCAATATCCTTTGTGAAAACTGCAGCAGCCAATCCATAATCAGATTTATTAGCACGTTCAATCACTTCGTCCAATTTTTTGAAGCGTATTATTTGTTGTACTGGTCCAAAAATTTCTTCACGTGCAATTGTCATATCATCTTGGACATCAGCAAAAACTGTAGGTTCCACAAAATAACCAGGTAAACTTTCTGGTCGATTGCCGCCAGCAACTAGTTTAGCACCTTGTTCTTTACCCGTTTTTATTAAACCAAGAATTTTGTGCATTTGTTCTGCATTGATTTGTGGACCTTGCTCAATATTTGCATCGAATGGATTACCCATGGTACGTTTCTTAGCACGTTCTGCACTTCGCTCTACGAATTCATCATAAATTTTATCCTCGACAAAAGTACGTGAACCAGCACAACAACATTGGCCCATATTGAAGAAAAGACCGAAGTGAGATGTTTCTACGGCATAGTCCATATCACTATCTGATAGAATAATATTTGGACTTTTGCCACCTAATTCCAGTGTAACACGTTTCAAATTTGTAGCACCCGAAGCTTGTTGTATTAATTTACCAACATCAGTTGAACCAGTAAATGCCACTTTATCTACATCGGTGTGTTGTGATAGAGCTGCACCAGCATCACCAAAACCTGGTACAACGTTGACAACTCCTTCTGGGAAACCTGCTTCCTTAAGAAGTTGTGCCATATATAAAGCAGTTAAACTTGTTTGCTCAGCTGGTTTTAAAACGATTGTATTGCCTGTAGCTAGTGCTGGTCCTAATTTCCAAGCCATCATCAATAAAGGGAAATTCCAGGGTATTATTTGAGCACAAACACCAACTGGCTCATGGCGCGTATAAGCAAAATAATCCCCATCTAAAGGTATCGTTTGTCCATGGTTCTTATCGGCCCAACCGGCATAATAGCGTAAAGATTTAATAGACATAGGTACGTCAGCATTGTATGACATAGCAAATGGCTTGCCATTATCCAATGTTTCCAAGCTCTTTATATAAATAAAATAATACGTTAATATATAGTTCAACATTTCATTTTTCATTGATATATTTATACTTACTGCTAAATATGTACGATCACGTTCCATTAGATCAGCCAAGCGATATAACAACAAACCGCGCCTTGAAGCATCCATACGACGCCATGGAGAACCCAATCTATAAAAAGGGATAAATGATTAAATGAGAAGAAAATTGAAATACTTATTAATGTTTGTAATGATCTTGAACTCACTTGAAAGCATTACGTGCAGCTTGAACCGCTATATCTATATCCTCTTTCCCAGCACATTGAATTTCAGCAATATTTTGGGCAGTAGTTGGGTTAACGCTAGGAAAAGTTTTCCCAGACTTACTTCTGTGCCATTCATTATTAATGAAAATCTTAAAAAAACAAGTGAATATTGAAGAGTTATTTTTATGATTATTTAATTTAATTGAAGAAAATTGTAAAGGAAATCTAAATAGAAATATGAAAGGTGTATAAAATTTATAACAGAATCAAATTGAATTAGTTATTATTTTAGTGGCATCAACAATTCTTGAAGAAAAGGGAACAAAGGCTATATAGTTATTATCAAATACTTAAGAAAATCTGAAAAATAATATATTCTTGTATGCAAAGTATTGAAAAAAAGATACTGCCTTCATATCTAAACATAAATAATGTATAATTATTTTAATATTATTTTTCGTTACGGCCTAAAAAAGGAAGATCAATTTCATTTTATCTAAATGTAGAGGAAATATGTAAAGCTAAAAACGTGTATAACCACTAAAAATCATCACTAAAAATTATAAATAAATGGTGATCAAAAACGCAATGTAGATGTCTTAGAAACTCACATATACTCATACATATATTTCTATAACTTTATATTTAATTCTAATAACCTCAAATTTAATAGTTGTAATTATAGCTTACCGAATCTATAGAGAATAAAAACGCAAACGAAATTTATTCCTCAATAAAAGTTGTAAAATTGTCTAAAACAAATTATACATACTACCATATATTACCATAATAAATATATAAATAAATATATTTCATATATTTCAAAATAATGAGACAACAAAATTGTTTGTTTACATTATTGGCGATACTTTAACAATAAAAAATGTTTACGATGGTTTAATGTGAGCCATTAGAGTAATTTACATTTCATATAGGTGGTTTTGCCTTCAGACACGCTATCACCACATCATATCTACACATATATATTATAATATAAATATATATACGAATACATATGCACCTGACAATAAATTTCCATTCAAAAAATGATTAGATGAGAATGATAAGATAGATATCTACAACGATTAATAACTTATCTTCAAAATAAAGTCTATTTTAGTAAATAATAAAGTTTGGCGCCATATAAAAATTAATTGTAAACTGTTTATTTCAGAGTATTTGATTAATTATTTTATATAAGGTGACTACAATATATTTGCTTATAAATTTAATATATAAACAATTACAATAAATTTACTGGAATAGTTTATAAAAGAAATTTAGATTTAATCAATACCTTTCTATGTTTAAATTATAGAACACTATAAAATTTTATAAGACCAAATATTTTCTGACAATATCTAATTATTTTATTATTCACACATATAATATATAATATATTAAATATTATTAATATAAATATATAATATTATATTTCGCTTATAAAATATAAGTTAAATATAATTTAAAAAAAAAACACTTCTAATACTAAATCAATTCTAAACTAATATTTGCGAAATTAACTCCTTTACTTCACTAACTCATACGGTCAATGCTCAACTTAAATCACAGATATGCATTAAACAGCTGAGCTGTTATCTAATCAACGAGGCAAAAACTAGGAAACAAAAATAGTGCTAGATAGTAGCATTAATAGTATCACAAACAATATCTACAACAAATATCCGTATAAGCATTATTAGTGTCAAAATAAATATGTTATTAATATTACATAAAATATAATCTAAAATAAATTTTCCATACAGTAATATAACTAGTTTTTATTTATTTGCTACTTATTATACATGTATCTAACAAAAAAATTTTATGGTACTAATAAGATTTATTATTTTTACAAATATGCTTCTTTGTAGTTATTTAGTGCTTGAGCAGAGCAGAGCACTTAAAATGCGTCATTCAAGAGTCATTCAACAAAATATTACTTATATAGATATAATGATTCCAAAAGTGAACTTATCTGTGTCTTAAAACCATTCGTCTAATATGACCAACCAGTCATCCGTCGCACTAACTACCCCCGCAAAAGTTTACAGTCTATACCGCCAACAAAACATATGTGTTTATAGTCGCCAGGCGAATTATAAAAACGTATGTTTTTTTTCAACTTTCCGTAATACAATATTATAATAATTTTTATATTTTTTTAACAGTAATGAATTAAAACAAAATTGTTATTTTGAATTAATTGAATTTCTTACTGACCATACAGCTGTTTTGAGTTTTTCCAAGTACCCATCATCAGTAGTCTTTTTTGTAATATATTTTATATATAATTAATATACATAATTGATTTGATTAAAAAAAAATCGTTTTAAAATGAGGCTATGTCAAATTAACTAAGTCCGCTATATGCAGTATATCTTCGAGGGACCCACGAATGAACTTCTGCCCACCGTGTTAAGGCCGTGTGCGAGTTCGACTAAATTGAGGTAAACTAAATTGAAATTTTCTAGCGATTTTTTGAACTGCACTTATGTAAATATTTATTTATTTATTGCACTTATTAATTATTTTTAGTTAAAAGTTTTCAAATTTATTTATTTATTTATTAATCATCTTATAAAATTTTGAGAATGATACCTAATTTACCTAATTCTTATCTAATTTACCCTACTCGAAATTTTGGTAAATACTAACATTCGCTGTCATACCGACATAATTTACTATTTCCCTCAATTTACTCGAACTCGCACTCGTACACGGCCTTAATTATAATTAACTATAATTATATACATATTGCTGTAACCAGTTAAACTAAACATTATTAATTTTATTAATAAATTAATAATAGATTAAAAAAAAATTTTTTTAATTATAAATTATTTTTAATAATAATTTTGTAATATTATTATTAAAAATATTATTAGAATTAATATTATAAAATTATTAATTAATAAAAGAAGTTATTTGTAATAGTTATTTAAATAATAAATAAATAAAATTATATATAAATAATTTTAAAATTTTGCATTAAAAAAAATTATCGTTTTTTTAAAAGCTTTAACTGATAACATTGATTATCTTTCAATTTATTTGAAAACAACACACAAACACACACACACGCATATTCCAAACAGAAAAACATCAAAACAAATTTCTGCAAGCTTGGCCGGCTGTTTTGTTTTTGTCTTGTTTTCTTCTTTCTCGTTTCTTTGGATAGAGCAACTACGTGCAAAAAAAAAGCCATACACCGGCAATAAGTACACCAAAAAAGCCATATCAAGGTCAAATTGAACGAAAAGAGAATTTTAATTACAAATTTAATGGAATTTTATTTGAAGTTTTCTTCTAATAAAAAACATTAACATATTTAATAAATAAATACACTGCTTTGTTATATTATGTCAGAATAATTAATTTATGTAAGATTTAACTTACGCCAGTATATAAAATTTCTGGATTTGTATTTGGTTGCGGAAGAGAAGCAAAGTTAGCAACACTGTTAATCGCTCCTGCCAATAGTTTGCTTTGAGCTCGTAAGGCAAGTGGATTTTTTATTAAATTCACCAAAGCCATTTATCAGTTTATATATTAAAAGTTAAAAAATATTAAACAAACACTCGCACGATACAATCACGCCGACAGATAAATGCGAACTAAATTGCGTCATAGTAAGTTGCATATGCCTATCTTACGAACAGCTGGCAAAACGAGCGCGAAAACAAAATAATCGTTATAAAAGCTTTTATTTTGATGAAGAAGAAGAGTGTATACATTTTGGATTATTCCAAAAATTATACAAATATGAGATCAATAAATGACATGATTAAAAATACATGCATGAAAAGTAATAAATTAGGTTAAATTATATCGGTGATGCCAAGGATTCACTTAGATATATTGACCCATTGTATTACCTTTGGCAAAGCTTAAAATGCTGTTTAGTGGAAGATTCTGGAATTGACTAAGATCTTCAGAAATGAAGCATCTAAAACAGTAAATCGAAGTTGTTTTTATGCAATGAATAATGACAATGAACTTGTTGCCAGATTGCCCAGTTTTGACCATTTAAATGAGCAACTTGCATGGTTTCATTATCTTGCTTATGTTTTGTTGGACAATGGCTCCATTCCCAATATTGCTAGGTCAGGAGTTAGCCAGTATTTACATTTACAGAGAATGTTCTCCAATATTTCAACATCTATTTTGCAGAAATGACATATATTAGTCGTTAGAGGATCAGAAATAATGTTTCTAATTAAATTAACTTATTGGAAATCCTGCGAAAATTGTTACATGCTCTTTGCTTTGCGCAATGAGTATATTTATTATATATTAGCATTGATTTTTATATATTTTATTATTTTTTCATATATTTTATTATATTTCCATATATATGGCTTAGTATATTTTTATAAATTTCCATATAATTTTTTTTAGAAATTTTTACAATTTTTTATATATTTTTACAATTTTTATATATTTTTATACAGTTTTATATGTTTTTATAATTTTTTACAAATTTTTATATATTTTTATACAGTATAATATACTGTTATGTATTTAATTTACATAAATATTTACATTATATTTATTTATATTTATTTAAAATTTAAATACACTTAACGTACCTTAATAATTATGACATTCATTCACGTAAAATTGGTTGAAGATATTCCTTTGAGATAATTTTTTTTTTTTGCCAAAATGAATTATTATTAACAATCTAGCATACAATTTATTAAAACTATTTTCCTATATTAAGACTCAAGTATAAAAACAAACAACTAAAGAATAATAAATGAAATATTAAGTACCATATTCTTCAAACATTCGTTTTTGAATCCAGCCCATAACTAAACCATTCTCATATACGATTTCTCTTCCACCACTAAATAGTTCTGTACTTTCCTCAAACATATGAAATTTACCAGACGTTGATGCAAAAAGTGCTCCATTCGGATGCAAACTTAAACCGTTGCAACAATCTGTATGTATTTCAAAGCTAGATCTTTTTTCGCCACTCTTATAATCCCAAACGTGAACCATACCGTCAGAATCACCACCTACGAGCCATGTTTCTTTTTCATTTAAATCAAAAGAAATTCTTTGATTAGTGGCCACTTTTCTTTCATAAGTATGCAAAGGTTCAGTATAATTACGCAAGTCATATTGTAATATGTTGTCGTCCTTACGTGCTCCACTAAATAACATATAACCTTCTGTGTCATAACGCAACCAAGTAATGCCACCATTATGACCATTTAAAACAAACAGCGGTCCAATTTTGGGTTGACGTAAATCATAATGATAAACATGTTTATGCCAGCTTCCAACAGTAACCGTATTATGATTTCTTGGATTTGTTGCGAAGCAAGAAACTGGCTGTTTAACAGGAAAAATTGAATAATCACGACCAGGTCTAAATTAAAAAGCATATTCACGGTTTAAATTTATTAATATAAACAATAATTTTGTATATTACCGTGAAGTGTCAAATATCTTAATCGACTTTTTGTAACCACCATAAATATTTTCTCCGTCATTGGAAAAATGTACTGAAATAGCACAATCAGGTTCATCCACCATATCGTAAGCACGATAACTGCAGCGTAAACTTCCATTGCCAATATTCCACATATGTATAGGCTCGTTTTGACGTGTGCTGAGCCAACTGAAAAATAAATAACAGCATTTATTTAGGTGCCTTACTAAATAAATATAGAAACAAAGAATTTAAAAGTCATCAAGAATTTATTGAAGTATTGTGTGCTATTTTGAAAACTTGTCCGAGCTGTGAAATTCGAGTTAGAAGTAACGCATACATGGTAGAATAATAATAGTAGTGCAAAAGTTTCACTTAAACTTACCAACATGATGTATAATCGTTACTTTGTTGGTACGGATACCATGTGAAATCATATACAGTCCCACCTTCTGCTACTTGAAAGGAACTTTCAAGTAAAGTTAAATCACGATTAGACATTGTTTTGTCAATTACTGCTACATCATTTTCACGTAAATCTTCTGGTAACTCAAATATGTGAATACCTGAAATTAAAAATTATTAAATCGGGAATGAAAATACTGGATTTAAGTATGTAAAGTAACTTACCATCTAAATGAACTGGAACCAACAAATAATTGCCATCTGGTGACCAGAGACAACCTTTTAAATAGTGTTGCGAATCTAAATCGTTTGATTGCCATAATTTTCTTCCAATTTCATAAACATGTAAATATGATTCGTCGCAGCAATCTTCAAAGTTCGAAATAGAATCCTTAACAAGTGGTTTAGTATCATCTAAAAAAATATATATTGATTTTAATATCACACTATTTACTATTTTTACATTTTTGTTTTCAACACATTATCTGTTATTATTGCTTAACGAATAAACATATTTGAATTCAATATGCGAAGTGTATATTACTACTCGATCATTTGTTTCCATTTTTACTTCAATTAATATACTCAATTAGTAAATACATTAATTAGTAAAGCATTTAGTAATTTTTAAGATTTGGCTTCAAAACCGTCTCTTTTAGTTTTATTAGCATATTTTAGCAATTTGTATAATAATTTTTCTTAACACATTTACTATATAAACATTTACTTACATTGTTCAACCAAGGTTCCCATGCTAACTTCCATATTTAAATACAACAATAATAATAATTTTATTCTATAAATATGTTTTTACACCAATTGCAGCCGCCAAAGTTGTTTAGAAATGGTTTGGTTGTCAAATTCTTAACGTCAAATCCAAACCAACTTTAGTAGATGTTACACTTATTTTTGTTATTTGTTTTGTTAGGAATCAATTTTCAGCAAAAATTTAAATTCGCCACATATTTTAAATTTTTGACATATATGTATAATCATATTTTACTAAAATTTCCATAACATTATATAAAGTTGTAAAATTTTAAAACAGTTTTTCTTGAATAAAAAATTTTTAGTTATGAATAACATGACCTGTAAAAATACATATGTTAAAAGAATAAATAAGTTAATTTGTTTTTCACAACCAAAGGAAGTTAATATAGCTTCTCTAAATCCAAATTGAATAATACTTTACTGCATAAAAAAATAATTGTATTAATCATACTCTACTATATAAATATAATTATGTATATAAATAATTGGGTTTAACATATCATATATTAAAATTAAACCATTAAGAAAGTAAACCAAAACCTGCACTATATTTAAATAATTAAAATAATTATAATAGTTTCATATTGCAAAATATTTAAGATATTATTTTGTATTTTTATTATTTATAAAAATATTACATAAGTGTCTTCTATATTCTTATTATTATAAAATATGTATTGTAGAAGCAACTTTGATAAATTAATGGTAGAGAATTCAAACTGTTTATATAATTATAAAAGCATCAAATTTCGTCTGTGAGAAAAGAAAAAACAGTGTTTCATATTGTGCAATTTAGAAAAATGGTTAATTCTCGAACATTTCTCTCAAGGTTATTTTATCTCTAATTGTTTTTTTAATTAATGATTTAATTTTAATTTGAAAAATACAGTTGATTATTAGTCAATCAAGTCATATTTTACTTTGTAGAGTAAGTTCAAGTATTTAATTTAAGATCTGACTTACTAACTTCAAGCACTTAGTAAGCACAGAGGACATACTAAAAAAATAAATTTAATTTGAATTTCGATTTTACCATAAATCTTTCTACTGTTGCTTGAAACAAAGACAGTTGCAATGTATCTAGTTTCAATTTCAAGAAATGCTTAGCTTGATAATGAATAAAACAGTTATAAACTTCGTGTCTAATTCGCAGATTGTCAAAAAATCAAAAAGTTTACATTATTAATTTATCTTATTTAAAATTTATCAAAAATTAATATTAGGCCGGTTTCACACTCCTCCGTCCGGTTTATAACGGTACCGTTTTTTTGCACACAATGCCCTTTCATATTTACATATATGCTTTTTATCCGTCTCTAACAAATTTTTATTCTCGATTGCAGTTAATTTTTTAATTAATTTTAATACAAATTAAGCGTAAAATATTAATAATTAAACCTAAGTTTTGTTATTACTACACAATAAAAATATAATGCATATTTAATAATATTTTTTGTTTTCAAAGCAGTCATATAAATTAATTAAATCATAAATAGTTTTTTTTATTATTTAATATTAAAAAATCTGTACAAATTAATAAAAATAAGTCGTTAGTTGATTTATATATTGCTTTTAAGTACATAACTTTTTTATTAATAAATAATTAATTGGCTAAATATTAAAAATTAATTATTGAAAATATTATTCAAATAATACGTTTTAAGCATTTTTTATGACATTCTATTAAAATTTTTATTCATTTTATTTTCTCAAAACTTAATGCGTATGGAAAATAAAGCAATTTTTGTCTGGCAACCAGATAAAGACAATCACCTGCAATTTTTTGCGCCGGATTCGATTTTTATCGTCACAGTGCTGTCGTAGAGCATGTTTTGTAAAATATTTACATATATCAATTTTAACTTATTGCCTCAGCTCATTGGCGACGGTGAAGTGTAAACGGGCTCAAGTAGATTATGACTTGTTAATCATAATCAAAAATGTTTTTATTAAACACTTATTTATTTACATATAAGAACTTTAAACTTTATTGAATGGTTATTATAAATATGAAATACTGATAATATTAATTACAACAAATGTAGATGTATTATATATATGAGTATGTATAAACTGTCATCAAATGAAGTTCAATAATACCATAACAAGTAATTTGAAGTGGCTTATTAAACAACAATCAATATATGCATATATTAGGGTATTTTAATTTTATTAACGTGATAAGTTAAGTCTAGTTATAAACTGCATTATATTGTTTATTTCAAAGATCTAAATATTTGCAGTTAACTTCGAGAAAGATTAACCATATTAGATTATAATTATTAATCTTTGTTGAAATTAAAATATAAATTTCATTTAGATAATAAAATAATAATAGCATAAATCTAAATAACTTTCTATATAATAAAAATGCTGGCGATTCGCACTTTTAGCCGCCATCTTATAAAGTTTTCTTTTTAACTTATCTATAAAAACGGCACTATGATGTATAGTATTTTAACTATTAAGTTGCAAACATCATTTCTTATCATAGCAATATGAAAATTATGTTTGAATTAGTTTGTCTTATGATATAAGCAAAAAAAATCTATCATTGATTAACAAATCCTGTTAAGCATTCTACATATACGATATATAATATTATAGGTTATAAAAGCCAAAACAACTAATGCATTGTAAAGATAAAAAATTACATATTCATTATATTCTTTATCAATGACAAACGATTTAAAACATGATAACAATGTGAATATACAAATGAAAGGTTAAAATAGATTAGACATAAAAATAAATATTATATGTGTAGAATATTAGATAGCCAAATTCCAAACTCTCCAAAATTGATGCTCAGTGTAGTATACACAATAGTATAAATTTATATTTAAAAAAAAAAATTTTTAATGAACATTTGAGTGTTACAAATTTATTTAACATATTACTAAATTATTTGCCAAATAATTAACCATTGCGTATTTTATATTTCCATTTATATTTAAACATATGCACTCCTATGTTTGTTATTTAATTTTTTTTATATTGGCCACATAAATACGAAATATTAAAAAAATAAAAACAATATATAAATAAAAAATAACCAATTTTAATGATAAGATAAATTCGTAAAATCAATACGACTGTGCTATCCGAACAGTATTCCACTTAGGTACGCTTACGTTTCCATGATGCAATTAATCACCGATAGTCGATCCATCATATATTTGTATACATCGATACTTTGAAAAAAAAGCCAACTTTGTGCACCTTTTTTATTTAACATTAATAACATTTAAATAACAAAAATTATTTTAATTTAAGAATGTAGTTTTACCTTATTTTAAATTAATAAATTGAAGATTGCATATATTTTCACACCTGCATTATTGTGCAACAAGTCAATTTCACTCAGATTAGCATGCGTGATATATTTAGAACGATCTTATACGTTATTGGCAAGTAACTGTGTAGTATTGTATATATCTGTTCTCTTGTTAATTTAACCCAGTACACTTAGTTGAAAATGAAGTTTCTGCTAAACACGTTAAGCAGAGTCTTCGTGTAATATATGTATGTGCAATGATAAAGTAAACCAGTTTCAGTCAGGCTACCATGCGCAATAAATTAAGAACGATCTTATACGTTTCGTAAGGCAAGTAACTGTGTAGTATTGTATATATCTGTATATTGATCTCTTGTTAATCTAACCCAGTACACTTAGTTGAAAGTGAAATCTCTGCTAAATAGGTTCAGCAAAGTCTTTGTGTAATATATGTGCAATAATAAAGTAAGCACACCAACAGGCATGTATCCAGGAGGCCTTATGTGTTTGAATGAATTGAAGGATTATATAAATTCATAATTATGCACCTTGTCCGTTAAATATTATAAAAATTTTTTAAATTATGAAATTTTTCAAAAGCCTCCCACCGACGTAAACAATTTTGTATTAGAAAATATTGATCATCGAGATCTAAACTAAAGAGGAACGAAAAACAGTTTACATATTTTATAATATTTGTATAATATTTCTATAATATTTATTTTTAGTATTTACAATTTATAAAATTTATTTAAGTTAATATTTAAGGAAAAAATTTCTTCAATTATGAAATAAAAACTTCAGTTCACAAAAAGAGATTACAAATGAAAAACAGTTGACGAATTTTCCGTTTGTGGTAAAAGTAATAATTTTTAAGTGGGGAAAAAAAAATATTATAATACATATATATGAAGCTAAAATTTTCAAAAAAAATTATTTTAGTATTTTATTTAAAAGTCTTCTTTTGTTTTATTTATTCAATATATCCTACAATTAAAATAAAAACATAAGATAATTTTTGTGTTTATTTTAATATATTTAAAATGAAGTTTTTTTTGATTCCAACTAGCACTTATCATATATTCTATAATTTCCTCAGGTCAACCAATATTTTTGGAAAATCAGTACTATAAATTAAAAAAATTAATTTTTGTAATATATAATTATTTTTTATTTTTATTATTTTAACTCTTCTACTTTTTATTTACATATCTTCATCATTGACTATTTTATATTTGGTGAATTTGTCTTATTTCAAAAATAAAGTTCAAGGACTTGATAAAAAGTAATCATCAGCTAAATTTTATGGACATAATACATAGCACCCCCGTTAGTACTCCAGTTACTGCGGATTTGCTGAAACACAAAATATCTTTTGTTTTTTTTTCTATCTATTCTACATCACAGGGTTCTAACAACTTCATAGTCATTGTGATTAATCCATAAATCAATTGTCTTCGCAATAGTGAATTTATCTGTGGTCCTTGAACATTTCTCACATCAGGGTTGGTATTTAGGTTTTATTTAGAGGGGTTTTCAAATAACAAAGAAAGAAATAAAGGTTTTATTTATATCTATTTCAAAGCCTCTTCTGGTAATATTATTTGTTTTCTTTAGTACTATTGTACTTAAACAAGATAATAAAACTATTTTCAGCTTTTGTATACTCCATTCAGACAAATATGTACACTCGAATTGTTTTTTACAATATTAGTTAAATTTATAATTAAAGTTATAATTAAATTATAAATTATTATTTATTATTATTATTATTATAAATTATTATTTATAATTTACAGTATTTTTTATTTTTATTATTTTACAGCATTTTTCTATATATGAAAACTGATTTTTTCTATGATTATTTATACTTCTATGATATAAAAAATATATTTTTCGATATTTGGTCTTAAAAACTTTAGGTTTCAATAAGAAAACAATTATTTCCTATTGAAATAATTTTATATTTAGGATCTCTCAGCATTTTCTCCACTAAACAATTATTATAAAAGAAATGTGTAAGTTAACAGTGAAAACTTATATATACTTACTTACTTCATTGGCTTTGGTTCGTTTGCGAGGATCATCAACATTCAAGTTCCACTTCCGAAGCAGTCTTACGTCATTCACTGGCGACTAATTTTACGTAACGGATGCCAAATTCTGTGCAAAACCTAAATTTAAAGTCCTGGGGATAGGACTCGCTGTACGCACTATTAGTTTATTTCCAAGCGGGTGACATATAGCTATCCAGGTGTGTCATGTGGAGGCTATGCGACAACTTCGATTGTGGACGACAAGGATTGCGCTAACATTTTCTATGTTAAATACAATCAGTCAGTTTGCCTTGTGTACTCGCTCCCAGTTGCTTGCGGATATTTAGATAATTCGTTCTATAATTCTCAAAACTCAACTTTGTAATGAGTTTCTCAAAAAATCTATATTTCCTATTGATTCATATTTATTAATTTCCATAATTTTCACCAAAATAAATTAGAAACTCAACTTGAATCATACTTTTATCTATCTCGGTCGTTATCCTTTTGTCTCTAGCGGTAGATACGCTTACGAACTCTATTTCTTATTAAATGCAGTCAGAATTTTTTGAATGGATTATTCATAATGACGATAGCATGACAACAAATATTTTTTTACTAACTACAATTGCAACAACAATAAAAATGCTAATTACAACAACGATTTGATAATACATAGATAGATAAAAGTTACGTACTGAAACAAACTTGTACTGAACCTAAGATATCATAACCGGGTATTTGTTCATATATAGCTAGCTATGTAGATATGAATAAATTCTATATTTTTAAATTTTGTTACTGATATTGTTTTATATATTTTCGTAACTAAACTGAATTTGTTACTAAAGTGACAAATATTTATTTAGTTTCGCACCTGCTATCGTCGGTGCAAGTTCTAAAACGGGTTGTGAAATTACTATAATATTTCTAAATTAAATTGTATATATATATATATATATATATTTACAAGTTATTTTTATTTATGCAATTTATGCAATTATAATATATATTTAGTGGAAAACCTAGCGTGAGCGGTACAAATTAAGAAGTACGTGTTCAGAGATGAGTATTAACTGGTACCAAGTGTTTATTGAATATAAAATTGTTTATAAATATATATATATAGACATATGAATACATATATGTATTTATATGTATCTTAGAAAATGTAAATATAAATATTGGCCTACCCTAACTTTGAGAAAGGTTCTTTCTTTTCATAAAGCAAAAAACTTCTGGACAAGGTCTCATATATGGTTTCGATGATTAATTGTTCAAGAAAAAATATTAATACTAAATGTATTGTGTTCATTTAATCCGATTGTTATCAGTTTTGTGTATCGTTGTTGTATTTTTTTTATTTTCAAATTAAATACATTTTATGAGTATGCTTATCACATTCAATACCAAAAGACTTTTCACATAGTTTCTATGAAAAAGTTAGACTGTAAGGTGGTTTTTATGGAACTAATTAACTAAATTAATATGACTATTTGTGATTTTTTTCTTTAAGTTAAGTACGAATGATTCATACTTAATAAACTCAAATAAACGGCTTATCTCTTTTTGGATTTAATCAAGATTGGACTGGTGAAGTGTATTATAACACCTGTGCCATTTTATTTACTGAAATTACTTTTAATCAACTAATATATTATATCAAATGTAAGCAATTATATAAAAAAAAAATGAGGTTTTAAAAAAAAATGTTAAATTTTTACCTTGAAGTGTAAAAAAGAGATTGGCTAAAAATTATTTTATTTTTATTTTTGTAACAAAAATAATATAATATTTTATATATATATTATACCTATATTATTAAAGCCGTATTCCATCAGGAACATAGACTATTTACATAGAATCGCCAGGTATGCTTAATATCTTAATTCGTTAAATGATTTGTTAGTTTCATATCAGATTGTTCTTCTCCAGGTTGTAAGAGGCCTACCGGATCTTGGATTGTCTTGAGGGTTCTATTGTAGGACAGCATGACAGAACTCTTTGTCAGTCTGTCAGCATGATAGTATTTTTCTCGTTTTATTTACACATTGATGTTTGACAATAATATATGTAACAAATAAAAATATATAGACATGAGTACATAGTGACTAAAATCAAAATAGTAAATAAACAAAATAGTTTGTAAATTAAATTTCTGCCTACTTGTAGACTGATATATTCTTCTACAAGTCAATAAGTCATTATTCTACATTACTTCGCTCTATTTTTCAGTAAAATATATATGGACTTTACCAACTCAAATTTCTCAAAAGAACCTTACAACAATTTTTCTATATATTGATTGGTTTTTTCATTTTTGCTATTAAAACTCTATATCTATTACATATTATACTTTTCTTCTACATTTTAAGTCATTATTTTAGTACTTTGAAAACTTAAATGTGTTCTATTCAATTGTAGTCACTTTGTAGTACAAAACATCTGACATGACCGTATGGTTCCGCTCCTTTGGAACCCGAAACCATATTCTTTTCGATTATATACTTTTCTACATAGTGAGACTAATTTATCAAATTTGACTATATGTATATTGTGTAGAACATAGAAATATGTTTTATGTTTTTAGTGAATTTGCACTGCTACACGATGTTTATCATTTAAAAAAAATTACTTTTAAATAGACATACTATAGATAATTTTGTAGTTTTACTCGGTGGTATAGCGACGGACTCTGATATTATTAGTAAAATATTGTTTACCTTATTGTTATTGTCATTAAATCTAATTTTTTTTCTAAATTTGGTGAAATATTAAGCCCATTAATAAATTTAACTTTAATTTCAATCAACTAATTATATTTACAATAGTTCAAATAATTTTTAAAGCCTTTCAGAACTAATTTTATAATATGTAACAAAATTTACAATAACATTTTTTTTATATTCTAATATAAATATTTTTTTTCTAGATATAATTTTATACTAGTCAATCTACCAAAAATATCAACTATGTCTAATATACGACCACTTAATGATAAATTAGCTAAAAGAGCTCAAGAAGAACTTGGTGAGGTACCAGAACGAATTGATTCAGATATTGAAATGTTACGTGAATGGATGTTAAAACAAACTTATATAAAAGGACGTACTGACGATCAATTTTTAGTAGCTTTCTTACGTGGTTGCAAATATAGTATAGAAAAAGCAAAACATAAAATAGATAGTTTCTATGCAATGCGTGGTGTAGTACCAGAACTATACAAGGATCGATTTGTAGATGATAGAAAGATTGAAATATTGAGACAAGGGTAAGTAGTAAATGTTTTAAAATTAAAATAAGCATTTTAAAGTATATACGTATACTAATTATCTTATACATTAGTTGTTTACTTCGATTACCTAAACCATTGACTGAAGATGGACCACGTATACACATTTCACGTTATGGCATGTATGATTCCAATAAATTTTCATTAAATGAAGTTGTGAAAGTAAGCACTATGATGGGTGAAATTCAGTTCCGTGAAGATGATAATGCTATGGTTATGGGTTTCACGGAAATTATTGATCTCAAAGGAGTCGGTGCTGGCCACATATTCCAATTCGATGCAGTATTAGTTAAAAAATTAGCTGTATTAGGTGATAAAGCATGGCCATATCGGCCTAAAGGATTTCATTTCGTTAATGCTCCTTCAAGTGCAGAAAAATTTCTATCCATTGCAAAGAGTCTAATGAGTGACAAAATCAAGGAGAGGGTAATACACAATATTAATATGCTATAAATTTTTATTTTAAAATTTTATTTACTTCTTTATTACAGTTCCATATACATTCAAAATATGAAACTCTCTATAAATATATTCCCAAAGAATGTTTACCTGCAGAATATGGTGGCAGTAATGGTACAGTACAAGATGTAATTGAAACATGGGAAAGAAAGCTATTAAGCTATAAGGACTATTTTGAGGATGAAGCACAGTATGGTACGAATGAGAAGTTACGACCTGGGCGTCCAGTGGATTCTGCAACATTATTTGGCTGTGAAGGCTCATTCAGAAAATTAGACTTTGATTAAATTAAGTAAATGTAAAAATTTTTGTTATTTTTATTAATAAAAGTTGATTTAAAACTTAATATTCCTTATTACTGAACAAAATAGTTTTAAAATTTTATAGACATTATTGTGACTTAAGACAACGAGTTGAGTTGAAAATCCTATGGAGTAGACAAGATAAAAACAGCAATCATGCTAGACAACTGAGATAGCATTTTAAAAAAGAAGTGACAGATTAAACCGATATGTGAATAAAGCAAGTTTTCTTTGTTTACCGAAAGTGAAAGTAAATATTAATTTATTAATAAACGTTTCTGCTATTGTGTAAATATTACACAACTGTTAATAAAACATGCATACATCACGTTCGTATATATTTGATATTTAGACTTTAATTTCTTTTAAAAAAAATTTATTTTATTTTAAATAGAAGTTTCGGTAATAGTAAGAAAATTTTAATTGTTGAGATATAATACAACTTTTTCGCATACCATCAAATATCCATCATCATTGTTCTTTGGAAATATCTATTATATACAGTTTTATTATTTTACAACATCCACTCTCCGCCCCTAGCACTCTCCGCTTGGACTTCGTCCAGGCCTTGCGCCATAAAGCTCCCAATATCTCTCCTTTTATTTCCATGATTGGGACTCCGATTACTCCCCCATCCCTCTCGACAATCTACTTTCTGGCTTAGATGAATTTAGTTTCACCTAAATATTAAGCCTCTCGCACTACTCTCCCCATCTTGATTACTGGAATAAGGTTGTATCCGCTGCACGTGACTGCAATCTTCCATGCTCGTTCCTAAGAGGTGGTTTTAGAATTTTTTTTAAAATGTGTCAGAAATTTAACCGTGCCCTATTTGAACCATAGACTCGCGTAATAAGACTCAGAAGCAACGTACATTCAATTTATGTTATTCAAATGTCTAGTTTTGTGGATTTTGTGTTTCTTCATTCGTAAACAACTATTATATTTCTTATGCTATTTACATAACCTTCTACAACAACCTTCTATTCTTCTTTGTTCCTTCTTTCTCTTTTTAGTTTCTTATATTCATTTCCTCTAGACATTTTCTTCTGGACACTGTCTTTCCATCTTCTTTTCTTTCTTTTCTTCTTTTGCTTCTGATATTATTCTATAACATCTTATGTTCCACTCTTGTTTCTGGCATTTTTATAAGGTAACCGAGTCACCTTAAACGCTGTTCTTTAATGAACTTGAGGTTAATAAACGATATTATTTTACATAGGTATATTCATATTGAGGTGTCCGACAGACTTCTAAGTTCGATAACTTCCATAGTAGAAAGTCTTGATCTTGTTACTAAAGCGACAAGTGTGGGATTTAAACAAAAAGTGCTCAGTTGTATCCTTTTCTTCCATGCAACTCCTATATATTTAAAAAGGGATACCCAATTTTTAGAGTATTTAGGTTATCCAAATATAGCCAATACGAGGTTATAGAAGTGTGGGTTATATTAATAAAATTCGAATATATATATTTACGGATATGTTAAGGTAAATTTCAAGTGATTTATTTCATTATTAAAATTATGTTATGGTAGATTTTTAAATCACGTTCGATTTTGTGTTTCTATATATATATGTTTTTTTTAGATAAATTCAACTTTTTTTAATTATTTCTAAAGCAATTAGATGTGGAAAAATTTTACTTGTCGTTATTTGTATACTGTTTGAGTATAGATAATAAATATATTGTCATCATTTTCAATTCATCTTATTATTACTATGTTCAGATTTTCGGAAGGGCTCCATTATAATGCTAATCAATATATGTCAATGAAACCTTGTATATGTATGCAATATGTTATGTTTAGTTATAAGTTATATTTTGTGTTCTAATGTAATAGATCATTAAATAAAATACCTCTAAAATTAACATTAAACATCTATTTGGAATATTAAAAATAAGAAATATACTTCATAATTATATTGAAACCATTTTTAAATTTTTTTTGAACTTTTCAAACTTTTAAAAAATACATCTCTGCTTTATATTACTTTTAAATGAATGTGAGATATTAATAATTGAAAAGCTTTCTTATATTATTTTTAAATAATTTCATTCTCAGAGAGCAACTATTTAAAAACTGCCTAACTTTCGATGCCGGTATATATACTCACAGTAGAGAAAAGTTCATTGCTACTGCAATTTTTCTATTCTGTAGGTCTCCTCTATTTTATCATTTTTATTTATTATAATTGATAATACAATTATACATATATAATATTAAGTAATATGATATAATTATTATGACATAATATACATATTTATGTAGTTTATTCACTTATTGGTACCTATTATAATAAGAGATACCAGGAGTATATGGACCAATCAAAGGAAAAACATTCTAAGTTTTTCCTTTGATTGGTCCTTTGATTGGAATCACAGGAATTCTAATAGGACACTGTAAATTAAAGTGCCATCTTACAAAACTGGGTATATATACGAATGCAAACTGTAGATTCTGCGAAGAGAATGAGGAATCAGCCACACATGTGCTGTGTAATGACCTGCATTAATGCACAAACGGGACTCCTGGGAATGTATAACCTTAAGGAAGAGACAATAAAACCCTGAGAAGTAGGTTTTATACTAAATTGCATTGACGCAACAAGTCTTAGAGACCTTCTCTAAACCCAAGAGGAGGCACCCGATAATACAAAATGGCCAAAATATTCTTTTATAACGTTCTTATTTCAAATTTTCTAGTGGATATTTGGTTAAAATAGCAAGTTTGTAAAAGATTCTATACTTGAATAATAGATATAAGTATATACACATAAGTGTGTATATTTAATAAGTATGTAACTATGTAAATAACTATAAGTATGTAAGTATAAGTATGTAAGTATAAATATGTAAATATAAAATTAATATAAGTTACAGAATATTTTTTAAAAATTAACGATAAATAAAATAATATATTCAATACTCAATTAAATCCTAATTTGTTTAGATATAGATAGATATTATTCAGATGTCTGAGTTGGTGAATCAGCACCTTTACTCTATTTTATCTGTGTACAGTTTTAAGTCACACTAAGAATAACTGAATACGGGGCTTTATAATATGATGGATCTGATGTCTTTGTATCTGCCTGTGTTTATCAAATTTCGCTGTATTTTTAGGACGCTGAGAGTTGGATTATTGTGACTGTCAATTATATTGAACAGTTTCAGAGCACGATCTTTAATGTATTTTTCGACTGAATCGACTCTCAGATCTCTGTGGATATCCGCTCCTCTTACGTACCATGGGGCGTTAACCAGTTTTCTTAAGGCAATATTTTGCCCTCTTTGAAGAATTTTTAAAGTTGAGTTTGGCGCTTGGCAAAACGCAACACTGCCATAAAGTAGTCCAGGTTTAATAATCTGCTTAAATATGCTAACTCTATTCTTTATGTTTAGATATGTTCTTAAATATTTTCGCTTTTTAAATGAAAATTTATAAAAAAAAAATTTTTTAAAAAATGTTATATAAATGCTTTTATTTTTATAACAAATAAATGAAGTTAAAAAATTAATAATTTATTTTTTTATTTCAAGCAGACTTTTTGTAAATAAATTTATGTGCTTCATCATAATAAGGATTAGATTCCTTACGCACTTTTTCTAGCCATTCAGCAATTTTCGGATATTTTCTACTAACATCGTATTTAGTCAATCCTGAAATGATATAATTTTATACATAAATAAATGAAATTTTTATTAGAAAAAATTTTGAATATATTACTTGTCTGTTCTATTTCGCTAGCACCAAATATATCAGCTATAGTAAGTTTTTTTGCTGTTAGAAATTCAGATTTGTCCAACCATATATTTTCAATAATATCTAAAGAATTTTCCATTTCTTTTTGTAATTTTAAAATTTGTTCCTCAGAAGGCATTTTAGCCAAACCATTCATAGGTAAAAGCCACAACCGCATAAAATACATGGCACAACCAAGACGTACACTTAAATGTTGCCATTCCAAGAACTCATCAACTTTTGCACGGGCTTTTAATTCCTTAGGATAAAGTGTTTCACTAAATTGGCCTTTGTCAGACAGGTATCTGAAAGTATTTCAGGATTTTTAGTTAATTTTCTTAAGAGTACTTCTTGCAACAGAAGCAACAGAAAACTTAATTATAATAGCAAACCTTAATATAGCCACACTTTCTGACAAATGCAAATCTCCATCCACAATGCATGGTACTTTTTGGAATCGATTGATTTTTTTGTATTCTTCAGATAACTGTTCACCTTTAAATAAAACAATAACAAAAATGAACTTTTAACAAAAAATTAAATATAAATTTTTCTTACGTTTTCTTAATGCCACCGAACACTCCTCGAAAGGAGTCTTTCCCATTTTAAATGCTATCCACAAAGCTCTTGATGGTTGTGACATTAAATCAAAGTAATACTTAAATTTGGCCATTTTTTAATTTTTTTAAACTAATTTATCAAGTATTAATATTACAAAAATAAATAAAAATAACTAACAAACGAAAAACTCAACCTGAAATTTTCAGTGCTTGATTTTGTACTGAGCAGGTACAAAGTACAAAGCATAAACAAGCTTTGCCCAGCTGTTTACGTATCTGTCAGATACATTCGCTCTCGCAGTGCGTACGGCATGTCGAAGTAGTTGGTCTGTGTTCTCAATTTTTTGTTGTTATCAAGTTTTTCGTTTGTCATTCTGTTTATAATAAATTTTCATACACAAGACACATACTTAACGAAAAAAAATTGCAATATTAATGTTCTACACTTACCGGCTTCATACGTACATGTTCTTAAATGCCAACGAGATGGAAAAAGATATTCGGTCTATTACAAAATTTATTCTTGTCTATTTGTCTACTTGTCTATCGATTTCAAAACGTGTTAGTTTGTAAAGTTACATTACAACTTAAAAATTCGGATTACTTAAATAAATTTTTTTAGTAAAAAAATTAAAATTAAATTTTACGTATATTTTATTAAAATAACATATACATATATCTAATGAATGTGTATATATGTCTATTTTTAAAAATTTTAATGTAAAATTTGCAATTTATTTTATATATTTTATTAAAATAAATACAAATAAATATGTAAATGTCTATAGTCAATATTATTTCAATTCGAAGTAACTTATTTTAGAAATAGATAGATGTAAAAATTTGAAAAAAATATGTATTATAGCCAAAAAAAGTAAATATCCATATAAAAAAAACTCTTAAGACGTCTTTGAAAATTTCAGCATCGATTTACCGTCCTTATTTGGCTACAACAACTCGTTACCGAGTTTCGTCCGGTCGTATGCGAAAGAAAAAGCATCGATGCCTCACAATTAGTCAAGGTTAAAATTTTTAAGGCTTACCCAAATAATATAACAAAACTGGTCAAAATTATTATTAATAATATTAACAAATTTAAAAGCCTCACCCACATTTTTCTAAGTAATGCGTAACCAACTCCATAGCCAACACACACAGCATAAGCATAGCGCACCCAACCAACAATGGTTAAGCCAATGGGTCATCGCTCGCAATGATAGAATCTATACTGAACTTTTAGTTAATCTAACCTAATCTATGTGTACAATAATGTTAAACTTATTTATTATGTTTATATGTTTTAAACCCAAATAAAGAAGAAAAAATATCAAAAATAAAAAAATAGTTTTTATTTGCCAATATTTTTGCTACATCCTACTTGAGATTTTCAACAATTTCTATGCCCACGTACGTAAGATTGATTTAGATCCTTTGTTTAACATCAAATGATTTTTTGGTTTTACAGTGTTTGCACATATATAATACTTCAAAGCCATACCTCTTTTTTTTTTGCTTTTTGCAGTAGGTGAAAAGCATCAAAAGCCACAGTGTTACACTTGAAGACTCCCACAGCAATGTGGAAACTTCATACCAGTAACCAAGGGAGAAAGACTTGATATCTAGTGGCCTAGGATTATCTAAGGTAGCATGCATGAACGTGCTGTGGGTAGATGGGTAGTAGGTGGAGGGAACTGGGATGTGGACCATATACCTCATATCAACAGTACACAACAGGCATGTAACGTACCTGTTGTAAAATGGGAGTATTTGGCTACCTTAGTTCTTAAGGGATCTACACAAATGTCTAATTTCAAATATCGCTAGTTAACAATAATATACTCTTTTGAGAAATATTGTTTTAAAAAAAATTATTTTCAACTTGTGAGACTTAAAAAATCCCTATTTTTTAACTGAAGAATGTATTGACCTTTGAAATAGGGGTTTGATCAGGAAATTTGGTATAAAGTTTATTATACTACACTGTTGCACACATCACGTTTACATTACCATGAAATATATTATTATAAAATTATCTTTTTTTTTATTATATTCAATTTGTTAAACTTGAATTGAAAATTTAATAAAAAAATTAATTACTACTGCAATTACTATTAAGGTTCTTCAACAATTAATATTTTAATATTTGATAAGTCATTGAATATAATTCTACATTCTACTAAACACTTTTATTCAATCAGTAATTTTTTATTTTTTTTATTTTACAATAATTATTTTATGATATGGAATAGTATCTGAAGAAATGTAAAATACTATTGAGATATTTTTGTAATTATTATTTTTTGTTTGATGAATATGAGACTTCATAGAGTTATAAATAAAGTTAACTCATTTTTTTGAATGCAATTTTATTGCAATAAATTAAAAATTGTAAAAAATTACAATTAAAAAAAAAATACATATATATATAATAGTAAAAACAAATAAACAGAAAAATGTTAAAGCTCTATTTCCATTTAAATTCAAATACTGTTACTTTAACCCAATTAAAATCGTGTTAATATCTATTACAATACATACATATTAAAATTAGTGCTAACATTTGTTTATATACATAATCCTTAATCAATAACATCCGACAATTACTGCAAACGATTTTTCTTATCTGAAAATTGCGTTTTGCATTATTTTCGATTCGAAAACCATTTTACTGCATAAAGTAACTGGTTTTACGTTTAACTGTTTCAGTAGTTCAACTGAACTAGTCCGTAATAAATAAATTAAATTTCGATTCCTGTTTTAAATTTTGTAAGAAACCAACTTATTCCAAAAACTTGTTACTAGTATTAAAGCATGTATTTATAAAAAAAAAAATATTTCTTTCATAATAATTTTTTGAACTTGATATCCGTATGAGTTTTCATATTTGCCGCTTCAAAAATCTCATATTAAATTAATAAATCTTACAGATTATAGGGACTTGTAAAAGTTAAACAAATGTCGCAATGTTTCTCTAATCTGTGTTCCGGGAAATTTAAATGTAGATAGAAGCAAAAAATTCAAAGAAATAACAAAAAGCCCTTACAGTACACCAATACCTATGGCAAAACGAGCTATTAATGGTAAATGTCTTCAAATATCAATTTATTGTTGGAAACATCTAAAACATCCCGTTTTAATTATTATTATTTTGTGCAGAGCATCTTAGTCTCTCCATAAAGAGAAGCCAATATGCTTTGTATTATGGAATTGCTCTCAATTTATAGCAAGATTTTCCTCTTTCCTTGTAAATTGTGTTTCTCTACGTCTTTCTGAATCGTCCACAGTTTGCCTAATATACCAACGTTGCAAGTATTATGTTATATCGCTAATCGATTTACGCAGTTCAGCCGTATTTTTTTTCATGACTTGTCTGTAGTAATACTCTCTCCATAAAGAGACGCCAATATGCTTTGTATTATGGAGTTGTTCTCAAATTACAGCAATATTTTCCGGTTTTCTTGTAAATTGTGTTTCTCTACGTCTTTCTTATATTTATCCATAGTTTGGATAATAATACCAGCATTGCAAATATTATGTTATATCGTTAATCGGTTTATGCAGTTCAACCGTATTTTTTCACGACATATTTGCATTAACAATATATATATATATATATTTATATATATATTTATATATATATGTATATATATGTATATAATATATGGTATATATAATAATATATAATATATGTATATTGCTAAAGACTTTTTATGATATATGATCCCAGTTCTTCATTTAAAGACTAATATACTAATATTCGTTTTAGAAACAGTTTGGTGCACAAGGTGGATTACTTTTAGACCGAGCAAACCGGGCATACCATCATTGTGACAACATAGTGACGATGCGTTAGGCATTTTTAAACCTCATCTCCGCATAAAAAAAAAAAATTTTTTTAAATTTAAAATATTTAAAATTTCTTTTAAAATAATATTAGAACCTTATACTCGCTGAGTATTGTAATCAGGCATCGACTTTTTTAATTATTATGTTGAGGCTAGTTGAGTCAGTGCAACTGAGCACTTTTACTCTCTATTAACTCTATTAACTCTTTGTGCCTTGACTAGATTATTGTTTATCACTTCATCAGACTAAGCAATAATTGACCTCAGATCTGCATACGTCCCCGAAGAGCCTGTAAACATTCTGAGGGCTCTATCCTTTATGTATTTTTTGATGGGATTAATCATGATGTCCCTGAGGATGTCATTCGTCCTAATGTACCATGGAACTTTGAAAAGTCTTCTCAGAGCCTGGCTTTTCTAGCTGGTGAATAGTAGTGTTTGAAGCTTTGCTAAACGCTACACAACCATATAGAAGTGACGGACGAATAATTATGTTTATTTATTTCTTTTATCTTTTTTAATTATACACTAATTTCATTGCGTATTTCAAGTATTTCATACTGTTTAACAAATTATTTAAATTATTACTTAATTTTTTATTATTATTTACTTTACTGCAATTTCTAAAATCATATAAATTTGATAAAGTAAAAGCAAAAAAAAAAATATTACCGATTATTTATCTGTTATATATTCAACATTTCAGTTAAAACAAACAAGGCTTCAATTTCTGTTTAAAAATCAAATTTATTTGTTGTTTCGAAATTAATAATATATACTTACTTAAAAATATCAACATTCTCTTTAATGCTTAAACTTAGTTATTAATTTTTAAACAATTTTGTTAAATATTGCATACCTATACTAATGCATAATTGTTCGGATAGTAATGAAATTTTGTGCTCTTCTGAAATATATAATGAAAGACGATAAAATGACAACACCTGTAATTAGTTTTCAAATAGCCACTCATTTTAGTAATACTTTGTACATCAGGACTTTTAATCTACGTCCAATTTACGAAAACTTCCTTCACCAGAAGATTTCGTTTCAGTTACAAGGTCATTGCGTAATTTCTCATCAACACCATAACTAATCTCTTCATTGAAGTAATTGTCATACGAAAGCAAAAGTTGTTCGAAGTTATTGACGGCATCGTCCAGTGTGCCATTTTCACCACCCAACTCTACCGGTAAGTACTCCGCACCGATGGCTTTTTGTAATGATTGTACACTTGAATGTATGTGTAGCTTAAGAATATAAAAAATATATATATTAACGATAATAATATATATGGTTACACTTCATTAATATATATATGTGTTATATGATATAAAAGAAATTGATTGTTACTGAACTAAAATTAAAATTTTAGAAAAAAAGTTATATAGATAATATCTATAAATAGATATATAACATGACGGAAACTTAAAAACTAATGCAATTTGTTTCAATATTATTACAAAACTAATCAATAATATTATTTTTAATAATAAAATTATACAATTCAAAAAATTTTTTATTAAACTTACTAGTTCCTTTTGTTTCATGCAGGTGCGGACTAGTGTTAATACTATTTGTGCCTCCATAGATGCATTCACAATATGTGTACCCTTTAAATTAGTTGGTACACCATATTCCAGAAAGGCTGACATTTTTTTAAACAGACCAGAGTCATATTGACGTAAAAATGCAAATGGTATTTTACCAAAATCGATTATTTCAACAACGCCACTGATTACCCAGTTATCGTCCGTATTTATTTCGATTTCAGAACGGAACGTATGATAGCGGAAGACGTCGTATACACTATATTTGGAAGTATCTATATTACCCATGCGTGTATAATGAATACGTGGGCCACCAGGCCCAATAGGATTTGGAAGAGTTGCAAAAATACTGTATAAATTAAAATTAACATTACTTTAATTTTTAAAAACATTTTCTTTTTATTCTTTTTTATACAATATATGTTTTCATATACATATATTTATCTAATATGTTTTCACTTCTAAAAAAAAATTTTTTTTTTAATTGCAATAATCAATTTATGCACATAGGAATTATTCTGGAGTTTTTTGCTCACCCATTTTCTCATTTTACTCACCCATCTCTAACCATTCCAAGTAATTTCTCATCGATGTGACGTACTTTTAATACCTCCATTCCTGTAGATTTATAAGTATAGTAGTATTCGATACGTATTTTAGCATTTTGCAAATTATATTTACAAAACCGTAGGAAAGCAAGTAGAAATTGATCATCGGTGCGGGCCTTTAAGTACGTTTGCCCTACTATCCATTCTCGTAGCTTTATTATATTCTCCTGTATGTTATTTTCATTTTCGTTTAATTCTACACGTGCTACTTTGGCCAGTTCTGAATTGAGTGGTCGAATGTGTGCCATTTTTATATTTTAGAATTTTGAATAGAATTTTCAAATATAATCCAAATTTTTTGTTACAACTGAAATTAAAATTTTTTATTCAACATTATTCATGTAAATATATATTCAAACTAAATTCGATAATACACATAAAATTTTCTAAGGTAACCACGATAGGTCGATATCTTTGACTAAAAGTTAACAATTTGTACAATAATTACGATAAGTTATCAAGTATTAGTGTTGCCCCATAACTTTGCAATAAATAAAAAGCAACAAAGAAGTATTTCATTTATCGGGAAATATTTTTTTTTTATACAATAATGACACATCAAATTAATATATATTTTTATTGAATGAGTCTTTAATCTAAAAAAAAAATTTAATCTAAAAATATTTAAAATCATACGGTAAGTGAAAAAAACTTATTCCACACGTTTAACTTTAATTTACATAAGTCATTTTAATTTTAATAAATATATACACATATTGAATATTTAATATATAACATACAGATACATTGTTTATTTGCTTAGTTTACAAAAACCGCTCCTCTTCTCATAATTATTGACCATTCACTGTTTTAAAACCACTTTTCTTAAAAGAAACTGCAATGGATAAACCAACTTGTAGAGTTGTGTGTGAGACTTGAACCCACTAAACCACCTCTTAGGAATGAATGGAGAAGATTTCCACAGCATTGTGAAAACTTCATTTCAGTAATCAGTGGAGAGAGGAGAATTTATGTTTCTGTACGAGAATCACTATTTTGTGCCCAATTATGAAAAAATACTAACTTGTCGTTGAAAATTGATTTATTGTTTATCGTATTCTCCTTTATGACTTATACACTTTTACATGCCTTCGAACCATTTGTAAAAGCATTTTTTCAATCTTCTTCAGACCCCTCCAAAACATGGTTTTTAATGGCAACAAAGACTTCTTCCACCGGCAAAAATCGTTGTCCACGCAATTGATTCTTGACATTCGGAAACAAGAAGAAGTTATTGGGTGCCAAAACAGGACTGTACGTCGGATGACCCATCAATTCCATTTTCTGAATGTTCAAATACTTGTAGTCAGCTGTTACGACGAGATATGTAAGCACTCGCATTGTCTTAATGGAGATGAAGAATGGTCCGAATGCGTTTGTTTGTTTTCCATATTTCACTGAATACTTTCAGTACGCAAATGGTTGCATACCATTCGGAATTGACTGTTTTACGTTCCTGTAATGGTATACTCGTAGTAAGTTGATCGATGCACTCTTGTCTTGATAAGAGTCGTAATAAATCATCGCACGAAAATTTTCTCGAATTAATTAAATATTTTCGCGAACACTCCATTTACAAATTACTGTAAATAACACAAATAACGCTCTTTTGACAAAAAGTCTTAGGTAAGTTATATTTAATAATGTAAAGCTTTTGTATAGAAACATCAGATAGCACCATATAAATAGTGACCCTGTATATAAATTTTCTTAATATATCCTACCAAGCAGTTAAACTGTCAACTGAATTTGGTAGAGGGTTGTGATTTGTGTAGTTCTGATATATCTCCAAAATAAAAAAATCTTTAAAACTCGGGATGTGTTATATTCGGTGCGTCGAATACAATCCCGAGGTCATCGCAATACTAAAATATGCATTGGAAACCAAAACATTCACTCAAAGTGGGCACAGAAAGTGCTGTTTCTCAATAATGTATAAACTAATTATAGAGAACTAATTGGATTAATCAATTTTTGAATACTTAGTAATTCATAAGTTACTTAACGATGTTCATGCTTGTAATCTTTTAGTGAATTACCACGACTATACCATACACGTCTTTAAGTTGTATCATTAAGATTGCAGAGATTATTTATGGTTAACATAAATACTACCACTACCCATTACGAGGAGCATTTCTTCATGGTTTTAAAACAGTCTTGTTTTTATTTCTTTAAATATTATTTATAGTTTGTGTTATTAATGTATTATTAATAACTGATGCTGTATTTAATAAGCGCTACGATTTATTTTTTATTAGTATAATATTATTACTATTAAGTAAATTTTCAAATTATCTACTCTTAAATATTCAAGTTATCAAGTGATAATAACCATGTTAAAACTTTATTTATTCAGATTTTAGTCTTTTAATCTTTAGTCACTATTTCGATTAAGGATTCCCATAGATAACTTTTCACTTCTAGGCTAACGTACCTGAGAAAATAAACATTATTTAAGACTTCTTAAGATCACTAATTTTATAAATCGTCTTTCAAATTTAATGAATTGCAATAGAGTACAACAAAAAAGGGAACACCCGGATATAATGTAATTGCAATTTCCAGAACTGTAAATAAAACAACTTTAGATTTGATTTAATATATAATTGTTTAAAAAAGTGCAACACTACAGTAACTACAGTTCAATTATAATAAAATAATGTTTTACAATCAAAAATAAATGAGAAAATATATGCAGTGATATTAAATAAAAACTATAAACTTATCAATTTAAAAACAAAGGTTGACTACAGAAGTTATAAAAAAATATATTTAATTTATAATGCAATCGACGTTCTTCATAAAAACTGTAATAACTTTATACATAAGACAATAAATTATTATTGAAAGACTGTAATTATAAGTAATCAATATACATATATCTGATCAACAATGACTGTACAGTCTAAAGACATATTATACATGCATACTTTATTTCGTTAAGTTTAAACAATTTAAAAAATAAATTAGTTATAATTTATATGCTTTGAAGGCATTATATGAAAAAAAAAACAAAAATCAGAATTACTTAATAATTAAAAATAATTAATAATTATATTAAATAATTTTAAGTCAGATATAGTAAAATCAAATTAAGAGCCTCCCTAACAGTTGAGAAACGTTCTTTCTTCGATAGAGATACATTCCAAATATTATTACTAAATATGACAGGACTACGACCACTAAATGAAGAATTAAAAGCAATTGCCAAGAATGAGTTAAATGAAGTTGAGAGTCGTATAGTTGAAGATATTTCAATGCTAAAAACATGGATCCAAAAGCAACCACATTTGAGAGCTCGTACGGACGACCAATTTTTAGTAACATTTCTTAGAGGCTGCAAATATAGTATGGAAAAAGCTAAATCTAAAATTGACTATTACTATACTATCAAAGCCTTAATACCTGAAATGTTTGTTAATCTTCAAATGACTGAAGAATTTGTTGAATTTGCACGCTTAGGGTAAGATAATAGATTTGTAACCAATATATATGTAACACATTTATAATTTTCATATTTTTTATTTTTAACTTAAGTTGCTTTTTAGTACTTCCACAGCCACTTGGCGGCATCGGTGGCCCACGTATATACCTAACAAACTTTACAAATTTAGATCCAAATAAAAACAGTTTAAGACAATATTTTCGATATCATACAATAGTTCATGAGTTTGAGATAAATATGGATGATACTGGTATCATAAATGGTTTTGTTGAAATTGTGGATTACTCCAAATACAACCCAGCATTTATAAAAGAATTTAATCCAATATTTTTAAAAAAATTATCAGTTTTTCTTGATAAAGCGGTGCCGATGCGCATAAAAGGATTACACATCGTTAATTGTCCAAAGGAAGGAGCAGTGTTTTTAAACATTGTGAGAAGTTTTCTAAATGAAAAACTAAAACAACGAGTAAGCAAAAATATTATTTAAATATTATTTATTATTATTAATATTATTAATAAAAAATATATTAGTCATTTTTTATTAATATCTTTTAACAGTTTTTCATTCACAAAAGCCTAGAAGATCTTTATAAAGTAATACCAAAGGAGAATCTACCAATTGAATATGGTGGCACCAATGGTTCTATACCGGAGATTAAAGCAGATATGGAAAAGAAACTTTTAGATTTTAATAATTATTTCATTGAAGAGACACAGTATGGCGTGGATGAAAAATTAAGAATTGGTAAAAAGGTAAATAGTGAAACTCTCTTTGGCATTGATGGATCATTTCGAAAATTAAATATTGATTAAAAGTGGTTTTGTTAAAATAGAAGGTCTACAGGAATATTCGTTTCATGGAAGCGATTTAATTTTATAACACTTGTAAAAGGTTTGTAATTTTACTAAACTACAATTCTCACCAAATTTTATTATGTAAAGTACTTATCAATAATATAAGACAATTTCATTGATTATAAACACTTATCGAAATATTTTTTTGTATTTTATATAAAAGAGAACTAATAACATTCTTTATTCAATCCAACTGAAATATTCATGAAATATAATTATCAAAAACGAACAACTGAATATTCTTTCTTCGTTTGGTTTTTTTTCTTACTATTTAGTGTTTTTTAATAAATTGAATTGGGTAGATTGCAAATATCTGGCGTCAAGATTTAACAAAGGATTTTGGTTAAATTTAATATTAAAAGTAAATTTTCCCACTATATCAGACTTTAGGACAGATTTTTTTACTCTTAGTTAACTTTAATCGCTGATTAGTCCTGTAATTATTCAAGGTGTGATACCATTCCCATCACATAAATTTATATCATATAAATAATATTAAATATTTAATGTTCCAAAACACAAAAAAGGGTGTGATTCATTATATATATATATATAACTTACACAAAATTTAAAGTACTTTCTATACTTGAATCCTTCGTTAACTTATTATTTTACTTTAAACTAAAAATGCATTAATAAAAATAAAAACTCACTAATTGCGCCTCCAACAAATGACGTTAATATGAGGTTAATCAATCTGTGATTTTTACTAGAATATTGCGTAATCATTGATTACATAATCAAAGTCAATAAATAATGAATGGACAAAATAAATAATCAAAGATTCTTAACAAATAATTAAAAATAATAATGGGGCTGATCTAATTATAGAATTAAATATAAAGGTGACAAGACCGATTTTTAAAGTTATAAGCTTTTTATATTGTAATTTTCATGTGAGAATTTATAACTCTTGAACCAAAGAAGGTAATGGAAAAAGTTGCCCATAGTAGTAAATTGCATCAATATCATATCAATAGTCAAATCGATTTCCCGAGTGCGTCTACATGCGGT